CTTTGCATTAGAGGAGTTCATGCCTGTTCCAACAAGTTATAGACCTTCAGCCTGTCAGGAGACATCTCTGGCTTCATTTACCCCCACATACCAGGCAGTCTTACATGCCCCCAAATACACACACACAGCAGTGGCACAGGATAGTCATCCCCACACTGTCTCCTCACCTCTGACCTCTTGACCCTGGTCCTGGAAGCGCCGTAGTAAATCCAGAGGTTAAAGTTTTGTCTCAGCCGTGTGTCTGGAAAAATGATTGAACTTTTGCGAGGCTTATTAAGACAGTTGTTTTCTTTCTATTGCACCTAAACTCCAAACTACCTTAGAGAATTAGGGGACATGGTGTTCATAAATCAAATTGGCTTGTTTTAATGTCTTTATAGATATAATTTTGTCAGTTTACCTTGGCAGTTACTTTAAAGTGTGTTGTCTAATTTGTCATTGTATATCATGACTGTTTTCACATTTGACCCCTCTACCCTGGTACTGAAAGCAGCGTAGTAACTCCAAAGGTTAAAGTTTAGTCTGAGCAATGTGTCTGGAAAAGGGATTTAAGTGGAAATATTTTAGTTAATGGTACTTTTTTCCCTTATTCCTGTTTATCTGCAGTCATTATCATCAAAATATAGTTTCAACAAATTACAAACTGTTGTATTGCTCATAGTACAGTGTGTGTAAAATGTCACTGGTCCTTTAGTCTTAATACCACAGTGGAAATATTTAGTGATGGCTGATTGAAACTGTGATCTGAAGCTTCAGTCTGGACTTGACCCGACAGCCTTTGATCAGTGCATTCACATGAGGCCATTACCCATCATGCTTCACTGTATCTGGGATTAGATTTGTCAAGAGTTATTACGATAACCTTTGTTTGATTGGCCAAAACAAGCGAAATTATTCTACACTGAAAAACTCCTGATTTTCAAACTCATCAGATACTCGATCTCACTCAGCTTCATTGGACTCATCGTTGTTTTTTATTAAACCTGAGTTGTTGAAGAAATGTTGTTTTATGCCAAATTTGAAGTAATTCCCTTTGACTTTCATTGTTGGTTTTACATAACTGTTAAAGTTTCTCTCTGAACTTGCTATGACTACTATTAGTCTGCTTCTTAGTCATTGTGAATGTACACATACAATATCTGATTAATACTGTTATCTCAAGTGGAATGTATTTTAGATGAAGTTAGGTTCATTTTGTCTGTTTGCCTCTCCCGCATTGACTTTGCTCCCACTCACATTCTTGACTGGGCTTGAGTAACTTTCCAAAGTGATTGCAAATATAACTTGACTTTAATGGTAATATAGTTTCGATCACAAAGTCATTACAAAGTCTGTTCAGTTTTAGCCAACTGGAGTGACATACAATAGAGGCTACAATGCAAATTTTGGTGTAGTTTGGTGTAAAATGACAGATACATACTGCCCATGAGATGCAGACCACAGATTCACTTTACATAAGTTACATAGTCATCAGGGATTCATTCTGATTTTTTAGATTTGTTTTCATTTTATTTTTTCTCTATATTTCTTTACATGAATACACCTTTGTTCATTTTTAAATACCTGTACATGAATCCACCAGACCCCCATTTTGAGCACTTAACCTCTGCTCTGCCTTTCCCACAATCCTTTGCTCTTTCTCTTTGGCCCGAGGAAATATCAGTCACACCCCAAACAAATTACAGCAGCGTGGGGCTTCTTATGGGCCTCGCGACCAGCTGTGAGGCATTACACAGGCGAAGCACAATTAGACTTGTACACGTTGGATTTCGGACTGAAAGATCACATGTCCGACCTGGTTCTGTGGCATCAGCAGCAGTTTTATGGAGGACTTAAGGTGGGCGTTGCACCGCAGACCTCTAACAAAACTCAAGCCTCTCCAATATGGTTCCCATCACATCAGACTCGCACTTGTGGCAGAAATTCCACCCCTATAGCAAATGCTCTGGCTGCATTTAATCAAATAGGCCTTTGCCACGGCATGCTCAGAAAGAGAACTTAAGAGCTGCACTCAACATCGTAAGAGTAGGTTTTTTTACGGGTACAATGGTGGACTGAAAGTTTGGCCCGAGCCTTTGAACATTTGACAAAATCATTTCATGCATTGCCAAGAGATGTCAGCCATGCACTTTACTGAAGGTTTCTGTTTGACTGATTTCCTTTCTACTTAGGTGAAGTCAGTTTTTTCCTTTTTTTTTTTTTTTAAACCAATATAGTCAGTCAATCAGTGTTTTTCATAAAAGGTACACTATGTAACTTTTTGTTACGGGTCCATCACCTACTTGTTTCTATGGATATGTCATTACACTGCCTGGAATCTTCAACAGTATCACATTAAATATCTCTACCTTAAATTTATTTAATTACAGGTGGTTTTATAGCTCAAAAATACCTAGAAAAACAGGCATTCTTACTGAGCAGGGTTTCCTCTCCACAGATCTGATGTGTAACTTCATCCGGGTTGGTCTCCGTGAAGATAAAAAGGTTTAATGCCATACTGTGAAACATTCCAGATAAAGCAATAATATCTTCATGGAGAAAAGCCTCCACTAGAAAAGTCACACAATGCACCTTTTTAATAGAGGAATCTACAAATGGTGATAGAAATCATACTTCATGCTTTTAGTATTGTCAAAACCATACAGAAACTACACACTAACTAAAAGTGTATTTAATTTGTTATACGTGTTTGTTTTTTTGTTTTTTTTATCAGTGGGGGCAATAACAATACAAACTCTGGCTTATGGGTTGCAGGTTACTGTAGATGTTGCATACATTTACATGAATATTGACGTATCTTTATCTCCAAAGTGACCACAATATTGTCAAGTAATTGCAATCTAAAGTTTTTTTTTATTTATTTTTTAATCATTTTTCGTTAGATTTATTCATTCACGAGGAAAGCTGGGTAGAAAAACATTTAAATTTAAAGAAAAAAATACTGAAAACATTAGTGAGGAAATTCACTTGTTCTGGCAGCTCTTAATACTTGAAGTGCAGACAGCAACAACAAAGAGTGCGTGCTAACTAAACCTAAGATCCAAACTTGAAATCACAAGAGGCTCGCAATAATAACAATAAAATCCATAAACTTGTTTTTTTTTCCCAGTTTCGTAATACAAGCTCTAGATCTTTGTGTACTTTTCTCATTATCGCTTAAGATCCTCAGGAGAGCCACTTCCTGTCATGTGTGGCCTGCTCCAAAATCTGAAAACTACAAAGTAATGTTTTTGTCACTATTTCTCAGGGAAGATGTACAGTATATTAATGATGATTCAACACTGCTCCGGGAATTGTTATGGCAGTGGTCCGAGGGCTGGTTTCACTCAACCTCTCCTTATTTATCTCACTGTTTTCTCCTTCTGCTCGGCACTTTGAAGACACAGCCAAAAATTACAGTGCACTCCCTCCAAGATGCACAACTTTAACCCCAATATTTTCAAGAAGCAGGTGTCCCGAACAGCAGCGGGGCAAGATGAGTCATTCTTGTTGTCATAGAGACGCAGGGGGGCCTTCACTTCCTGTCCCATCATGCCTTGCTCTGTCCAGATTTCCTGTCAGTCCGGGAAAGGAAGATTAGAGAGCTATCATGTTATCTTTTGCCCAAAAGTTTCTATCACAAAATAACAACTGCATTCACATTGGTCTTGTATGTTTCTGAGTTTGTGTGTAGTTTGTGTCACTGCTGAAGCACCTTTTAAATCTTTTAAACATATGAAAAGTATTTATTTTACTTAATTACTGGTTGTGCTTCACCAATAGTAGATAAGTTGTAGTTGCACAGTTCAGTAGTAGATGTAAAAAGGCAAGTGTTGGAGAATCCTTTATTTTACTTACTTACTATCCTGCCATTTTCTTTGTACTTGTAGTAATAATAGTAGAAGTTGCAATTTTTGGGGATTTGAAGCAGCAGAAAATTCACTGTATTGACCATAAATTTAGACCTACTTTTTCAAGCATTTTCTACTCTTTGACATATAACTTTGACATATTACTTGAATACAAATGTGGGTCTAGAGGCCTAAACAGAGTGTGGGAAAGTAGGTCTGCTTGTAAAAGAAGGGTGGGCCTTAACTGTCGGTATCAACAAACTGAAAAGGCATCTGCAAACTCAGCAATTTATTCAAACTCCTCTACATGTACTAGTTAAAATGTTTTTTGTAAATTTATTAGATCATGTGATTCAGCCATTGCTCGGTGAATCAGTTAAGAACCGTTCAGAAGTGGGAAGAATAATGTTGTTTATGACTTTAGAAACTGTCAGACATTGAAATAAATCTGTACAAATTATTAGCAGTATTTTACACAAAGAACCTTCTACAAAGCACATCTGCAGCTCATTGAGGTTAATTTTATGAGAAGTGCGTTGTGATTTAAAAGTATAGGGCGTTGACACAGCTGGTAAACTGTTGGTTGCCTTCTGAAAATAAAATGTTATTGTCTACCATTTCAAAACATTGCCCCAGTCATTGTTTCATGGCTGGTTGTTTCCTAATTATTCGTTTTATTGTTTAAATTAAGAAAACAACATTAACAATTCAGGTATTATTGTCCTATCGTTCAGTTTTTTCTTCTTCTTGACATTAGAGATGCGCTAATATGATACTATCTCGTTTTGGTGTATAAACTGGTGTAATAAGATGATTTACTGGCCAGTTTTGGCACAAAACATCTCCATATTAAATGTGTATTTTTACAAAGCTGTAAAAAAAATGACAAAACACATTTATTTTGTTTAAACACAGTCTCTGCCCCACTATCATTTGATATTGGGTATAGGCAGATACTTAAAGCCAAAGTATCGATGTTGTATCAGAACAGAAAAACCTGGTTCGGTGCCTCACTACCTGACATGCAACAAATTTCATATTGATTTTGGACAGCGTTTTGCATGGCAATCTTTTCTGTTTATTCAAGGGTTATGGTTGGCACTGGCCCTTTTTGTGACTAAACATAATGTACCATGTGTTTTCTAATGCTTTTCTCTTTCTTTTTTGCAGAAGAGATTGATTACACCAGTTTTGGCACCAACACACTAACGCGCAAGAAGAAAGCAGTGGTGGCTCTACGTAATAACGATGTGAACCGGAAGCGCCCACACATCCGGATAGGCATGCCCCAGGACTTTCGGCCCGTCTCCTCCATCATCGACGTGGACATCCTACCGGAGTCTCATCGCCGTGTCCGCTTGTACCGCCACGGTTCGGACAAACCTCTTGGCTTCTACATTCGTGATGGGACCAGTGTTCGGGTGACGCCACATGGGTTAGAGAAGGTCCCGGGGATCTTCATCTCACGCTTGGTGCCAGGTGGATTGGCTGAAAGCACAGGGCTGCTGGCTGTAAATGACGAAGTGCTGGAGGTGAATGGCATTGAAGTTACAGGGAAGTCTCTTGATCAGGTCACAGATATGATGATCGCAAATAGCCACAATCTGATCGTTACAGTGAAGCCAGTGAATCAGAGAAACAATGTGGTGCGCAGTAGCAGGATCTCTGGCAGTTCTGGTCAGTCCTCAGATAGCAGCGGTTCCATTGGGTACCCAACTTCTGTAGCCTCCACCGGGATGCCCCTTTCCGCAGCTCATGGTTACCCTGATGACCTTGAAAGTGACGAAGATGCTGATATCGTCATTGAAAACAGCATCAAGCGGCCTTCCCAGCGTTCCAATGCATCAGTGGCTTCCAACAAATCCAACTTATCCCGTCCCCACCACCAAATCCCCTCTGCAACCAGTATAGGAGCAGCAGCACCAGGTCAAGCAGCTCTTCCTTCTCCAAGCCCACCTGCGCGTCCCCCTTCTGTCATTTCCACAGCCTCATTCCACTCCCAAACCAGTCTTAATGGAGGGTCTTCCCAAAACCATTACCACCATCACCACCAGCATAGTGGAGCCAGCCACAAAACCCACAAGGACCTTCCACACAGCCTGCAGTCCCAGCTTCACATACGGCCGTCCCACCACAGCAGCAACCCCGCGCTTCGCCATAGCAACGGTAGCATCCACAAAATGCTCAGCGCGCTCAAAACGGACCCTCGACACAGCCTGGTGCTGCCCAGAGGAGGAGTGGAGGAGGATGGCACCGTTATCACACTATAATACAAAATCACAGACTCTCAACTTCTAAAGACTACAAACTGGTGTGTTTTTACCACATACTAATTTTTATAACATCTTTCTGTACAAGATTATCATAAAATGGATTATGAAAATGTATATATCATGTATTTTAAATTGTCTTTAAAATTTGTCTTACACGAAAAGAATTGTACGTATGTATGTAATAAACTTCAGAACAATGTTTTTAGGTGATTCCACTGTTATATAGCGTTCTGAATGTGCCTCTACTCTTAGTGACCACTTTTACTGTGTCTTTCAATGCTAAAAACTGGGACCAACATTGGGGTTACTCACGGATGTTTTTAAAGAGTAAATCTATATTTCTAATGAACTCAAATAAATGCTGTGTAGAGTATGATTTTTAAATAGTCCTTTTATGCATTGATGATTTTGATTCTGTTCCTGTTTCAATAAATTATTCCAAGTCTCAGCTTTGGAAAGCTCTTGCGCATTACAGAACTCCTTTACTTTCCTACAAGTTTAATGATAACCTTACAGCTATAAATCTGTTACATGAGTTTAAGCATCTTTTCTGTGAACTCCAAAAAACATGGCTGACGTCCCTGTTTTTAACCAAGCGCAGCATCTTTAGACCAGAATCCATAACCACAAAATGTTATGCATTTAGGGTGTGACTTCTTGTGGAGAGAACTATTTGTGCAACAAGGGTTCAATTCTGCAACTGAACTAAACCTCACACAGCAATTACTTATTTTGGCTCTAAAAGCCTTATCCACAATTGCTAGATCCTTGATAGGCCTACTCTTGATAATCTTGTATGAAAAGTACAGACCATTCATACTTTGATTGCATAAGTGAAAGTAAAATGTGTTACAAATTATTGAGATAAACTGCTTTGATCTCACCAGAATGAATGAGAATGATTACTGACAGGTGTTTTTTACTTAAGAAGGATTGCATTCCTTAGGGAAGTTCTCTACTAATGAATGTTTGCTGCATGTGTTTACTTAAATAAGGCCTTCAGCTAATAGATCACTGACAGCCAAGTGATCTACTTTGGTGGTAATCTACAAGGCTAATCTGTTGTTGGTATCTCTTAGTTGGAACACATGATAGGGTATAATAATAAATCTGCAAAAAAAATAATAATAATCCAGTAATGTTCAAAGACTATTTTATGGTGTTAAGCCATGACAGAAGTAACACATATGATTGAATTACCCTGAATTATGTGGTAATAAATTTTGACAATGTGATGGTAAAACCACAGACCTTAAGGATGTTTGGCTGCCATCTGGTGGCAAAGTAGAAATTCATATTATAGGTTTTATGGTTGTAAGGAATAGCAGTGTCCACAATTACAACAAACAATGCCGTTTCCTTTGTTAGAAGAACTAAAACTGAATATTATAATATAATAATATATTTATCTTCAGCATACTATTAATCATTTAGGTGAAATTAGTGATTTATTTTATTTTGCATTTTATTATGTATATTATAACAATCTCAGAATATTATCTGACTCTTCAGAGTATTTTAATTATAGATTATTAAAACATGGTTTGTTGACAAAAAATATATATATATGTGTATTCTCCGGGATGACCATTTTGACCATTCTAGGCCACCGTCCACGGTTTAATCCACGTGATTGAGTCATTTGACAAGTCAAACAACACAGCAATCCGAGAGAAGAAGGCGCTATGGACTTTTACAGGAATGACAGAGTGGGCCTCCTGTCTCCTTTAGAAGAGTCCAGCGCCGAGATTAGTCAGGACAGTGGCATAGTTTCCCAAAGTGCGAGTAGTTTGTCCATGGTGAGCGAAATCCTCAGCAGCGGAACAGTGTCGCAGAGCCCCAGCTTCGGAGCAGCCGCGGCTAATGTGATCAGACACAGCCCGAGTCTGGGGGAAGCATCGGGGCTCAACATCGACAGGCAGCACCAGGAGGAAGCAGAGGAGGACAATGAACTACTGCGGGAAACGGCATTAAGCTACTCATCCTATATCAGAGCTACGGCCGGAGAAGAGGTATGTACCAACTACCAAGCCACAGGGATCAGGTCAGGCACGAATCTACGTTTATAATTTGTTTACGAAAGCTCAGCTTTTTCCACTCATTTCCACTGTGCATGACAACATAATAAACAAGCATGGGTGTGTACTCCCTTAAAGATATCTGTATCATCCTGCGTCAGTGGCACTATGTAACCTTTGTGATGGAGGGTCCGCAACCGGATTGTCTCCATGAATGTTTTCTTCTCCACAGATTTCGTCGATAAGTTTAATGCCCTACAGTACTACAGCTTGGTCACAGATCCTCCATCAGAAAAGTTGCATAGGGTCCCTTTAACAAATTAGATTCCCTTTCAACCTAGTTATAATGTGCACATTCTCTGTTCCTTCTGTGTAAGTTCACTCACATAAGAGATGTATCCCCTCACGATCTAAAATACAACATATTATATAAAGTTAGGATGCATGGATCCTCTGTCACTCACCAGTATTTGCATTAACTGAATGTGCATGATCCAGAGTTATGCCTGTCACTCTAATCAGGAAGACAATGAAGCCTTTGTGAAAAAATTGTGTTTCCTCTAACAATTTGGATTGGATTTTTAGACAAGTCAAAAAAAGGTAGATCTCCCTTTGTAATTGTATGACATTTTCCTAGGTCTTGTGTCTAGAGAAGAGTTTGGAAGAAATGCTGACAAGAGTGGATGAATTTGTTGGGATGCTGGATATGGTGAGCTGCAGTTGCCATCAAAATAATGATTCAATTGTATTTGTTCACATATCAGTCTCATGTTAATGGCCTTTATTTGCAGATTCGAAATGACACTTCCCAAATAGTGAATGAAGAACTACCTCAAATCCAACAGAAATCTGAAGAAATGAGACAAATATATAGGAAGATTGATAAACTAGAGGTATGTGTTTATACCAACTAGTGTTTCTATATAACCAACTCTATTTTTATACCACTGTAATAAGAAGAACGCCAATTTTAGCATAAAATTGACTTATTTTTGTGTTATCTCTCAGGCTTTTGTGAAGATGGTTGGAGCAAACGTCAATGCAATGGAGGAACAGGTTACACAGGCAGAGGGAGAGCTAGGAACGCTCCCTGGTGCTTTCAAGAAAATGTTCCGTACAATGACAGCACCAAGTTTTTTAAATGCAAGTCTTCACTCCATTCCATGAACAAATGTATAAAATTTTTGAGATATTTTGAGTTAATAGTTTTGTTGCAATTGTTATTTGTTTCCAGAAACAGTCCAGTCCCAGACGACCAGCAGCACATCAGTATCAGGAGGTGCCTAGTGTTTTTCGAACTGACGATTACTTTCCACCACAGCCTGAACAGTGACCCACTACGAGACATAAACCTGTTTGTAGTCTTTGTTTACTGCCATTTGTTGTAAGACGATTTTTGGGACAGCCGCTTCAACAAAGCAATAGTAACATTTTTCTGAACAAATCACTGGACTTAAAGTGCAAGAAAACCCTGATGATCAATCATTGTTTTCAGCAGCAGCAGCACTGAACTGTAGCAAATCTTTAAAAGTGCCTAAAGGGTCACAATAATGTCCATTTGTTTTTATTATTTGTGTAATAATACACACTGTGCAACAATCCTCAAACTACAGAAGCTCTTGAACAGTACCTGTTATGGAAATTACAATAATCATTGTAAAGATCAATGCATTTCATAAACAGATAACCAAGCTTTTTTAATATAACGAACATTCCTATTGATAGAATTTGTAACAATCTGCACGCCGTTTTGGAGTTCTGGATTTCTAATGGTTCATCAACAATAGGCCTTTTCTTGTCTTCCAATTCAAAGTGTTTGCTGTGTCACTTGTTGTTTCTGACCATCTAAAGTTGCCTCCTTGATATGTATGCACGCATGTCTGATTTTTAAGCACACTGTAAATGAGCTGTCACTTTATTAGGGGCCAGTTTTTAAGCTGTGGTTCATTTTTACATCAAAAGCTAAAGGAAACTGAAAGACACGTGTGTCTTAAAGATTATTTATTTAATAGTTTTGATTTTGTTGTGGCCCAATCAATAATGAACACTGTCGGAATTCATTTTATGTATTATTTGCCAAATATTTTGTATATACCTGGCCTATACACCTGATTTTGCTCAAAGTTTTTAGTCATTAAATCTATTTGCAATATTTTCGCTTTACTTGGCCGATGCAAGACGCGTTTGGTATATTTTTGTAGTCTCTAAACAAAACAAAAAAACAGTGCATCTGCCTTTTTAAGTTTGTGATGGGCTCTGGTAGTGGGAAACACTCTTGTGTGTCATCTTTCACGGTGGAGGTGCAGAGGAGTGTGAATGAATAAGTTAGTTACACGTGCTTGGAGTTTGATGTGGTGTTTATTTCAGCATTGCAGCTATAGTACATTTTGGTTCATACGTTTTCCAAAGATGACAAGGGTGGATTGTCCTTTTATAGCTTCTTACTTATATATACTTATCTACATGCATGACTAGAATTAATCTGACTTTGAAACTGGTTAATGCAATCCAGGCAGCGACTAGATGTGCTTCTAATGGTGAAAATTGTCAAAACAGGTTGAACTGAACTGAAATCAGCTCATTTTTAGCTCTGTGTTGTGCCATTAGCGTTCAGACCCATGGTTCAGACACACAGACCAATAAACTCTCTTCTGATTGGCTCTTGTGTGCCGACGTCATGACGTTGGTCATAATTGGGAGGAAGCGGGAATCCCATCGCCACCACCAGGCTGCGGCTAGTGCGGAACAGTACCACGTTGGTTCGGCCTCGTTTTGAAAAGTGGAATAAAACGGCAAAGGTCGGTTTTATGTTTAGTCATTTCCACACGTAAAATCGTTTTCTGAAGACCAAGCGTTCCCTAGCTGAGACAAGATACTAAATAAAGACGCATTTCCGATATGGCGATGATGCTCGCGTTAGACAAGTGCTCAAAGTTCAGGAATTGTTTGTGACTGCTTTGTAGTCTGGTTTTGTTACATGTAGCATAATGTGATCTATTACTTCTGATAGTTCTGTGCTGTAATACTGAATTGTTTTGTGAAAGTGTTCAATGGTTTCAGTTCAAGTTCCCTGCAGCTAGATGGGCTAAAGTAATGCTAAAGTATGAAATGGGAATAATGTTCATCCCATGGGAACATGAGCACAATTAATTATTCATTATGGCAATTGTCCCCATTTATTCTCAAACGTGTTCTGTGATTTTCGTCAATGTTGGTTTATATAAATGTAATGTTATCATATCCCGGATGCTGCTATTCTTAACCCTTCTTAACATAGACTGTTGCATTCACAGGTCCAGCTCTCAAGGCATGGCTGACAAAGAAATCTGGCAGAAGATCGGAGAAGACTTTGTGCAAGCATACTATCAACAGTTTGACAACTCTGATAGAAGTACTCTAGGTATGCTATATGTAAGTATTTATTTTAACATCTTTAACTGAACAATTGGAGTGAATAAAGTACGTAGACACACTTTTAATTTAATGGTTTTCTTTAGTCTGATGGTGCTTGTTTGACATGGGAAGGACAGCCATTTCATGGACGTGCCGCTATATCTGGGAAACTAGGAGTAAGTATTCCCATAAATAACATCCAGCCAAATCCTGTATTAAGTATAAAAATGTGCTTTTAAGTGTATTGTACAAAATTTTTTGTTAGCTGCAAAGTATTTATAAATGAAGACTATTGAGGAGTAATTATTTAGGATATTGAACAAACTTGTGCATCTTTTTTTCAGAGCCTTCCTTTTAAGCGGATTAAGCATGTCATCACTGAACAAGACTTTCAACCCACAATAGACAGTTGTATTCTCATCATGGTGTTTGGACAGTTACAAGTATGTTACTGTAATTTAATTCATTATTTTATTTACAAGAGTCCTTACACATTCTTTTCCACAGGCAGATGACGATCCTCCTATGGGATTTCACCAAGTGTTCATGTTGAAGTCAGCGCCAAATGGTGCATGGGCATGCACAAACGATGTATTCCGTTTGGGAATACATAACATTCCTGTTTAGATGTTAATAGTCCAATTTTCACAAAATAAATTTTAAAAGTCTGGTATTCTTCTTGTTAAATGACATTAAACAAAAATAATGTTGCCACTATTGTGTCCAATTTCCTTGTGTTGCTCAGTGTTACATTTATGGATACAAAAATCCACTCTGGGAATCTTGACTTAATTCGACTAGATATTGTCAAAATGTGGTTGTGTAAAATTGCAAACCGTAACTGTCCTGCAGGGGGCGTGCTGTGTCCTTCTCATTTAAATGGACAAAATCGAGGGGAGGGCTGCAGTCAAGAATGGTAATGGTGGCAGCTGAAGCATTTTTAATCTCTTCCAGTTTCTTATGACACAGGCAAAGAAGTTCTCTCGAAAATGGACCTGATCAAAATAAACCAACAGCACCACTCGTGTAGTCAGACGGTAAGCAGGTCACGCATTACACAGCAGTGGGACTCGTGGTTGTGCAAATGTGTTCAAAATATTGCTATTACACAAACCATTGCACTTAAAGCTTTGTCCACCATGGTCGTCAGAGGGTGGCTATGTTATATATGTTATATGTTGTGTTACAGCTTTATTATATCGTACAAAACAGTCGCCTATGTCAAAAGACGACCGTGAAACTAGCTTCTCATGGACCTGGTGCTAAGCTAAAGAATAGAGACCGACTGGTTCATGCCATACTTATTAACTACTTCAAACAGCATAATAATACGCCCTAGGTTAATGGATGGAAATGTCAACAATTCAATTCACCTGTACGTTTTGGATTTTTTTTTTTAATAATGAACAGAACAGAACAACAAGCTTGTGCGTCTTTTGTTGTGGATGTTACGAATCTTCGCGCACGCGCAGTAGTTTTGTTTAACCTATGACTTGTATAAACACATTTTTATGGTGTAATTAATGCGTAAGTATAAATTCTTGCAGAATGGGTTAAAAGACCAAGATACAGAACACCCGAACGATTGTAAAGAAGAAGATGAGCCACTGCTTCAAGAAAACCCCAGAAGGTTTGTGATTTTCCCCATACATTACCCTGACATCTGGAAAATGTACAAGCAGGCACAGGCATCCTTCTGGACAGTGGAGGAGGTGGGTGGTTGATTTAAAACAAATTAGTTTTATTCGGACAATGCCACGTAGTATGTCTTATTGTCTGTTTATATTTAAGGTTGATTTATCTAAAGATTTGGTACACTGGGACCGTCTAAAATCTGAAGAGAAGCATTTTATTTCCCATGTCTTGGCCTTTTTTGCTGCTAGTGATGGTATTGTGAATGAGAATTTGGTAAGTTGTTTCTTGACTGTCTCCCATATCATTCATTTCTAACCACCAAACTAACAGAAACTTGATATTTTTGCAGGTGCAACGGTTCTGTCAGGAGGTACAGGTTCCTGAAGCGCGCTCTTTCTACAGTGTACAGATTCTAATAGAGACAGTTCACTCAGAGATGTACAGTATGCTTATCAACACATACATCAGAGACCTCAAGGAGAGGTCAGTCCCATTTTAACCTTTTAACTTTATCGACATCATTGAAAATAACTCGGTTGCACAACTGTCTAGGGTTTTAGGCTATGCACATGCAGCTTATAGTGCATATGACAGATTTTTATGATTCTCTAATTTTGATGTAAGTTGGTAGGATAGTGCCAGTTGTAAATATAAATTATTTACACCAATCAAGAAGCAAATAGCCAAGAAAAGTTGATAAAATACTAACAATTTAGGGAGAATTCTAGTCAGAAGTTAGGCACAATTTACACATAAGAACTTTTTTTTCACATCCCTAAAACATTAAATCAATAAAATAAAGGTGTTTTCTTATATTGGTATATGTCAGATAATAATTTCTATGAATAATTTCTCTGTGCATTAGAGGAGCTTTGCTAGGATGTGAGGAAGTAAAATTTTGAAGATAAAAAAGGCAAAATTGGGAAAACGAGTGTGAATGATTTTTAAATATATCGGTAATGTAATACCTATGTTTTAGATAAATCAGTAGTCTTGTCATAGAGACTTGTCATCAGACCAGTTCTGGGTTCATACAATGTAATGTTTCTCCTCACTCTTCTCCATCCTCTGTCATGATGGCATCCATCCTGACCATGTCCAATAATGCAGACAGACAAAAGTCCAAAATAAATAACTGACTTCATGTAGACTGCATTAAACAGCTAAACATACTTACTGTCCTGGCAATCATTAACTGTTGATTTTTGACATCTGCTGCAATTTACAGCCGTTACTCACTATACCAAAATACTGTCATCAACTGTGTAACTGTATAAAATGCACCTGCTCAGGATTTGAGTTTGGGTTTGGGTTTGTGGTAAGTAACAGACCTGCTGTGTGTTGATTTGACATAACCAAAGGGAAACAATATTATATCTCTTAACTTTAACAAAAACAAGTCTGATGATTTGTATATAAAAGTTTATATACATGTATACACATATGTACATTATGCTTCTTATTATGATTTTGTCCATTCTTGTAATTATAATGTGTATGTAGAGCTATAAATTAACATGTTGGATATTGTGTTTTTCAGAGAGTATTTATTTAATGCCATTCAAACTATGCCTTGTGTGAAAAGGAAAGCAGACTGGGCTATTCAGTGGATAAATGACAGCAAATCACCATTTGGTAAAAAGTTAATTTTTTTAAGTATATAGAAATGGAAGCCACAGTTGCATAGACTTGTCTTCTCCTGTTTTTTAGGTGAAAGAATTGTGGCATTTGCAGCTGTAGAGGGAATTTTCTTCTCTGGATCCTTTGCGGCCATTTATTGGCTGAAAAAGAGGGGTCTAATGCCCGGTCTTACTTATTCCAATGAACTTATCAGCAGAGATGAGGTTAGATTTGTTTGAAGAAATAAATACATGTATTTTGTTTACATAACTAATTCTGTATTTAAAATTCTGAAGTAATATAATCTACATATTTATGTCTGCAGGGTTTGCACTGCAACTTTGCCTGTCTCCTGTATAGCTACTTGGTTAAAAAGCCATCAGAGGACAGAGTAAAGGATATAATAACCAAAGCTGTGAGCATTGAGCAGGTAAAACTATTCCATTGTATTCAAATAAAATAAACATGAAAATTTATGTGCTATTTATATGTACAGTTACTTTATCCTACGTTTGTAATTTAGTTTCGACACAAATGGCCACACCACCTCAGTGCATCTGTAACCCGCTTGTTGTTTTCCAGGAGTTCTTAACTGAAGCTTTACCAGTGGATCTCATTGGAATGAATTGCTCTTTGATGAAGCAGTACATTGAGTTTGTGGCAGACCGTCTTCTTGCAGATCTTGGCCTTGATAAGGTATTTTCAGAGCAGATCAAAGAATAGATCAAAGCACATACTAATGTTATGATTCTGTTAATTAATTAATTAATATAATTAAATTTCAGGTTTACAATGCTGAGAATCCGTTTGACTTCATGGAGTCAATCTCACTTGAAGGGAAAACCAACTTCTTTGAAAAACGGGTGGCAGAATATCAAAAGTTTGGTGTTATGTCAGGCCTAATGGACACTGAATTCACTCTTGATGCAGACTTCTGAGATAAAGCTCTAGTATCTCCTGTTGGTTATTATATTTTTGTTGTACTTGGAGTCAGGCAACCTTATTTCAAATGTTTACCCCGTCATTTGAGGCAGGTCAAATAATTATACTTAATAGAGTATTTATAAGCTTGGATGACCCATTTGGAGAGAAAAAAAACATTATTTTGTTTGTTGGCCTATTTGTTACTGCAGTATTTATTATACAGTTTTGCATTTAAAGTTGCATTTGAATGTCAAATACATTGTTTTAATATAAAACTGATCATTGGCTCAGTTGTGTTACTACTTTGACTGTAGACTAGGTTAATACATTTTTAAAAGCGTGCAGTGTTATTGGTAATAGATTCAAATGTAAATTGGAGTTTGATGTGACACAGGTCTAATAGAGCCGTGAACTTTCTCTCAAAGTGAAGTCATGTCAAACAGACTGGTGGAAATGAGGAGAGCATCCTTTCTCTCACAGCTGTCACAGGATTAGCCACTCCTCCGTTAGCATTAGCATACTGATGAGAGCTAACAACAGTGTCGCGATTTGAAAACATGGCAGGGGACATCCGCGGATTTGCGTTGGAAAAAGTCGAGTTTATTTCAAGTCGCTTGAAGGATCTACTGTCTTCCGGAGAAGGCTATGTCCGAACACATTTTGGGCTGGACCTGGGTCTGAAAGCGGAGCAGTACTCTCCGTGGGTGATCTTATTCACGGCCGCCGCGGGGCTGCTGATGCTGGCCGCGTCCTGTGCCGCTGTCTGCGGTGGTTTGCTTGGCGGGAAGAAGAGGCGATCTCTGGCCACATCATCACAGGGAAGCACGGAGCCCCACAAGGCCGCGTTGACCAAAAACAATACCAAGACAGAGGAGCTGAGGAGGAAAAACAGAAAGAAGCTGACAGAAAAGGTACAGAGACAGCGAACAAACGCATGAATCCCTGCAAACCAGAAGCGCATCTTCTAGACAACGGTGCAATAACATATTTTATAATGGATGTAGTATTAATTTATTTACTTTTGTCGTATGGTTTATAACAAAGACATAATATGTGTGACACGATGTTTATTATTTAAAGACTGGCCACTAATCTCGGCACATTTCAGTGGCGCACTTCCATAACAGCAAAACCCAAACAGACTTGTTTACAACAAGGGACGTCACAACAGCACATAGAGCCTAACAGCAACACTGCTTGTTACTGAAATATCGTCACAATAAGCGTATACTAAACAAAGGCTTTTTATCATTTTCAATTAATTGCAAAAGAAGCTGCAGTCTATGCAGTGTATTGCCTTTTCCTAAAAGATGTCTCATTTGCCTTTTTCACTTAGAAGAACCCATCTAATGGGCAACCAGTGTCCATATCAGAAGAAGAGTTTCAAGAAAATGAGAAATCGTCACCCAAGACTAAAGTAGAAAAGGTACAGTGAATGTATTTTGACATTTATATGTCAAACACCATTAAGAGTTATCAGACTGACACCAAACATGGTTTTACTTTAATTGTATTAATTTATTTCAGTTTCTTGTGGCCCAGGAACCAACACAGGTGAAGAAAAGCAAAAAGAAACCCAAGCCTGATGTGAAACCAACTCAACAAATGTTTACAGCTGAAGGAAGGGAGCAGGATGATGGTGAAGACCCCATTTTGTTTAGTAATTATATGGTTGTGCAATTAATCACATTTTAACTGAGATCAAGATAAAATATATATATATATATATATGGATGATTAATATGAGGGAATAAACTGTGATATTTTTTGTCTTATTGTCGCAGCCCTGGGTCATTGACTTTTGCCTGAATGCACAGTAAACTATAGTTTCAGTTGATTGTTTGCTGTCCATTATAAAGGTGCATGGGAGACCAAAGTGAGTAACCGAGAGAAGAGACAGCAGCGCAAAAAGGAGCGAGGTCCCGATGACTCAGGAAGCCCAGGAGGTTGTGTGGTCCTTAGGGCTTCTGCAGAGGGACTGGGGAGCAAGACAACCAAGAAGAACAAAAACCATGGTGCGTAGACCAGATAAGGTGTGTTGTAGATTGCCATAAGGTAATCAGAGCCATATTCTAATACTGATACTATTTAATTTCAGATTCCCAGCTTTCAAAGTCTTCTGGAAAGGGGGATTCAAGTGGAGCTGGTAAGAACAAATCACATTTCTGGTCATCAATTTGGGAGCTGATGGAACTGTTTATTCTATTGTAATTATTGGAGAGACTTCAATGTCCTTATAAAAGTAGATAATCTTTCTATTTTCCAATTTCAGCATCCAGATGGAATGAAGAAGCCTTGAACATCAATGCAGGATGGACAGACATGTCTCTAAAAATGTCCGCCAAAATGGGGGCATTGGATGGGCCAAAGTGGAGTGCCATTCCCGCAACCCAGCCCTGGACACAGGAAACCCAAGGTAACAACAATAACAGAATATTGTTTTTTTAAAAACAATATTATTCTTATGATGTTATGGTTATAGCATTTTATTTTAACTGTCCAAATTTAACCTGCTTTATATTTCCAACAATATTTCCGTGTTCCCCTGAAAATAGCATGGAGTGGAATTGAGAGCAGAATGAAGAATGACCTCAGCCCAGTGTCATTCTCAATGTTAGGACTAAGCACAGCAGGTACATTTCTTGATCTAATAAGATTTCATATAAAAAATGTATTTACAGCTCTGCTTAAGGCCACATGTGTTTGTCACTTAGAGTCCACTGCCAGTTCGATTGAGCAGTGGACAAATCAAGTTCCAGAGGATGAATGGTCAGGATTCAGTAAGTCAAAATCTCTGCTCTTCTATGATACAAAGAATGTATTGAAGTTGTTTGAAAAGACCATGCAACAACAATCATGACAAATGTTTAATTATAATATTCAGATGGGATAACCGCTGTGGACCCCTGCTCTGACTGGAACGCCCCGGTTGAACACTGGGGTAATTATGAAGAGCCACCTGCAGTGGAACCCCCAGCTTTCCCACTGAAGGAACAAGCAGGCATGATCAAGGTATGACTTCAATACCATGGAAAAATGAGATGTTATTTTGATTTTTTTAAGAGGCAGCTTTATTTGTAGAGGACTTATTCACAGATGAAGATTGTATTGTTGTTTTTATGCTTTTATTTTGTCAGATGTCTGATGATGAGAAGGACAGTGAAGATCCTTCTGAGGGTTCATCCAAGTCCAAAAAGAGAAGAAGAAAGAAGAAAAAGACTGAAGAGGAAACTCCGTCTGTGTCTCAGGCAAGTGGCTTTCATATCAGCCATCTGAGACAGGGAGATGTGTATTTAGGTGGTGGTTGTGCATAAAATGACATTTATGTGATTGTCAGTGACAATTGTTTTAATCCAGATGGTGAGCTCTGTTCTCAAACAACAGGAGCTTTCAGTGCAAGTTTCTCATAAACCCAGCATATCTCCTGCTCAGAGTAAGTCAAAATTACTGTATTTTATATTGTTTTGTTGACTTGTTCCTTTCTTTTAAATGCCTCAAAGTTCTTTGTTTTAATGTCTTTCCAGAGAAGCCTGAGGAAATGACAGATCCTCTGAAGCCCACACAAAAGAAAAAGGTTAGAAAAGAAACATGAACTCTCGCCGCAGGTCACAAACTGCTTATGCAACTGATTGTTTTACTTGCAATAATTACCAGGTTCTAAAACATTATCAAACTATTTAACAAACCAAGCAGTGGAGGTTAACTGCTTGACTGAATATTGTCACAAATGGTGGTCCTATGGACTGAAGTCTTAACAAAATTGCACTATTTGCTACACTGTAACATTTCAGGAGATGGTTGTACATTATATCATACTTATTAATTTGAGTCGGTTTCTTCCCAAAAGATCAAAATGTGTTTGATTATTTTGTATTTAATATAAGTGGGGTTTTACTACCCTTTGTGTTGCACCTAATTTATTTTTTTATTCTGCTGCTGACCTCATCAAGTGAGTTTATCACTTACATTTTTTCCAGATTTGTTTAAAAAGTATATATGTTACATTGTTTGCTTTGCAGGGATTTGGTAACTTTTTAATTGGATTAAAAACAAAACAACTCATTCAACAGACATATTCCATTGAGCATTTTATTTATTTTAAAACTGGCAGCTGGTGTCAGAGGTATTTATTTTTTTATGAATTAGTTTGATTAAATAGCTATGTAGAAAAAGCTTTTCTGCAATTGGTTTGCTGACAAACAATAGTAGTAACTAATGAGAGCCACCAGAGGGCACTGCAGTGTTAAAATACTGTTAAAGCACTGCTAAATGTCCCTTACTGGACATTGAACACCATCATATATTATATTTTCTGAAGCAGAATGTCTTTTGTTGATATTAATCCTTGTGATGATTTTCTTCTGTGTTACTTCCATTATTGTACTAGAAAAAGCCATGCCGTGTACAGATCTAAGGGCTTTTTCAAACACTTCTGCGACTGCACTGTGCAAAAAGCTGTAACATGTTCCTTTTGATGTTGATTTTTATCGATGATTTTATCGTTGATTGTTTGTACTTTTTTTGCTGAATGTGAAATGTGTACATTTTTAAACTGACTTCCAAGATTTGAAGACAAAGGTTTTAGACTGAGAAGACATAATGACTGAAACAGAGCAGCTTTACTTTAACTTCAAGGTTAAAAAAAACAATGACACTTATTCAGAGGAGTTGATTCTGTTGCCTTAATATGTACAGTCGTTTTGCAAGTTTTGATGTCAGACTGGTTCTACTTGCATGACCTTAATAATAGTCCTAGTGGAAATGAATTGAAATGATCCGCTTTAATTGTGTGGTCCACTTATTGTATATAATGTGCTTTTTTAGAGGGACAGATTTCGTGGGCGTCCAGTTTAGCAGATAGATATTACCACAGCTGTGTTGTTGGTAGGCCTTAGTGCAGTCAGCTTTTAATCGACTGGTATGTGAACTCTGACCCTAGATGTCCTTAGGCCTGATGAGTTCTGTTTTTACTAATGCTAAATCAAACAATGTATTTATAAAATTGTTTTAGAAAAAATGTTTTTGTCAATGAACACGAATGGCATTTTTATGTTTGTTTGTTAAAGAAACATTGGAATAAATTGTAATGCTTGATCTCATTTTATGGCAATCGATATTTATTTCATTGACATGTGACAGACGTAAGAACCCTCAGGGAAATTCTCTATTGAATTTGTTTCAAAATATGTCACAAGATATGAAGCATGTCTAACATCATGACCCCAATGGTAGTGAGAAAAAAAAAGAAAGTTATTCCAGATTAATAATAATAATAATAATAAAGGCCTTCATTTATTTTAAATTTTTGTGTAGTTTTAGTTGCTTGTTTGACAACATTTACACAGTTCTGACACTCCTCTTCCAGTATGTAAATGAGTACTATACTGGATTTATCGTTCTATCTTTTCTAATCTTTAAAATCTATCTATATACACTGTCTACGTGTAAGCAATCAAAATAAGGTCAACAAGTCTAGCACCTATAAAACCAGTTTACACTGTAAATCTGTGGCTGTTGTTTACAATTTATCAAGAGTAGCTTTGAGATGTTTGTTTTCCTATATTTGTATTCACAATTCAATCTAATCCCAATCCAGCCTGTTTAATCTAATCTGTATGGCCCAAATCTGCGTCATGGGAGAGGCTGAGCCAATGTGTTGCTGTGGTCTCGTGGCACGCTTCACACACAGATGACCTTCTCTGCTCCACCCCTTATCTCCAACTGCATTTGGGATTTAACCATGTTTAATCTGAGGCAATCTCTGGCTCCTGGACCATTCAAACAACACGAAGTCTACTACAACAAGAAGAAGAACCCTTTTTGTATTTTATATTGTCCTTTCTGCTGGATAGACATTTCTTTTGTTCAGCTGTTATAGCCATGAAGGTCATTTTTTAATGGTGATCTGTTGTAAAGGAATTTTCTTTGTGTTTGATTTTATGAACTAGGAACAGCAGCCTGCCGGGACTTCAGAGCACTATGAAATTAGAACTAGTGCTACAGCCTGGTACAATGCATCTCTCCTGTTAAGATTAATGTATATTTTGTACTGTCCCTGTCTCATTAAATAAACAATTAAAGAAGATCATTAATGAATTGTACCTCAAACCTGAGCAAAGCAGTATAAAAATGCTTAGTCTCCTAAAATACCACTTAATTATTAAAATATAGTATATATCTTCATTTTTGTACACAAGATGGAGTATTCTATATTATTTTAAGCCTATATTTTATTGAGCATGAGAGATATAAAGAGGGAATTCACCAGTAAAGATCAGTGTCCTCTGTTGATTTACCCCTGAACTATAGTCTTGGTACAAATTTGTGGTGTAAAATTTGCCTTATATAGAGAGGGGAAATCAATAGGGTATTTTCTTTAGTGTGTCCATAAATATAGGCTATATGTATGTCCGATGGAGTATGTTTTGTGAAGTCAAAGCAGGAGGCAGTTGTTATAATGCAGTCCTCCCACCACAGCTTAGCCCCATCTGTCCGAGCGCCACACTGGACGCAATACACAGACAAACAAGATTGGTGTCATGGAGTCTCAATGATCTAAATAAATAAATAGGTACCAGTACATAGGCTTTTAAATACACACTATAAATTACTATAGCAATGTCAGTGAATATGCCCTGGACTACTTTCATGCATCAACTGAGCAGTAATTAAGTATGAATAAATTCACTTCAAAATCAGTCAGCTAAAAAGTCAAGAGTTGATTTCATTAAGTCTTTTTTAAATGTAGGTCAGTGGTTCTCAAACTGTGGCGGGCTAACTAATGGTACCAAGTTCTCACGCTTTATTTAGGCTATTTAATTGGACATTTATATTCATGATTAAATAGGTCTTTTGCATTGTAGTCTGAGCTGAGATTGATCATTGATTCCCGGACTATGTTAAACACTCAGTTCATAATTGTGATTAAGTGACTGAGCCCAGTTTCAACTTGGTTTTAGAACACGTTTTTCTTAGTTTTAGTCCAGTTTTGTCTTGGTTTAGCACTGGTTGTAGCCAAATACTCACTGAGGTTGTAGTTCCATACCAGCTGTGTGTGGAACAGGATACCCAAGCATAAAATGTCCCTGTGCCCAATATAGGCCCATAAGATCTCAATGGTAGCAAAGTATCAATGATAAAGCATGTAGGTCATCGCCATCTCAGTGTTATTTTATTGTTTTTTTTCCCAGTAATTGTTCTTAACCTGAATGGTGTGAGTCAGTAGTCGTGTTTATGAAGCATTTTGCATCCGTCTCCATCCATTGGTCCAGTTCCTGTGGGTCACGTGACGCAGGATGAGCCAGATTAAGCTCGCGTTTGAGGGACTCCTGCACTTTGCGGAACAACATCGGTCCAATGAGTCGGTCCTAGCGCCGCGGAAAGACGTGAACTCGCCTTTGTCGACGACTTAGCCTCGTATTTCACTCGATCCAAGTGGCATTCATGAACTAGGTGAGGTTCTGTACTGCGGTGGTCAGGATGTTTTCGCCGTGGGACCGGTGGTACTCGACGAGCTGCTGCCTCTGCTGCCATGTACGGACGGGCACCATTATACTGGGAATATGGTACATGGTGAGTGGCATTTGGTCTCTGCCAGCCTTTTATATTACAAAATATAATTAAATGGAAAAGGCTTAATCAAATATAGTCTCACACCCGTATCTAAATAAGATAACAAGTTTCGAAATGCGTTTGCACTTTTGTTTTTCCCATTAACCCTAGTTTGACCAGTGTAGTTCTAATCTGTAAAACAGAAGAAGGCTTTCCCACAGGCTACATTATGCATTTTAAATAACCCGATGCTTCTGACTTTCCACTCGTCATATTAAAATTTTACATCCCTACGGATAATATTAAACTTCTATACACAATAAACAATAATAAACATTTACAAATACAATCAAATCTTTAACAAAAGTATCTCGTGCTGCCCCTCTCCTATTCACAACAAACATCTTCTTTTTTCCCGTTTCTTATAGAAGCTCCTGTCATTCCATGAAGACACTATACTATTTCAGAATTGTCTTGTCATAATTTAAATATCCTTTGTTAATTTTCTATAAAAGTGAATCCCAAATGTGAGATTTTTCTTGTATTATAAAACTATGCCCCATATAGTGAAAGGTGGATAAATATAGCAGTAGCCTCCATTTGGGTGCGCAGGATAACCTGGACTTTTAAACATAGTTCAGTAATCCTGTAAATCCTCGACCTTCACTGAGTTAGACCCTCTGTTTTCCACAAAGTAATGACAGTGTGAGTCATCAGGACAACAAGCTCCTACCAGTGTGTACAAATGTGTAAAATAAATGCAAATGTATAATAATTTTGCTCTTGTGAAATGTTTTATTTTATAGTTTTATACAGTCAAATGGCCATATTGAGATTTATTACAATAATACAAGGTTCAATTTGGCTTTTACATATAGTTAAAAACACAACAGAATTCAAAGACAATTGCTTTGTTCCAATCCTTATAAATGCTGCATGAAGATAGGAAAAAATAGTTTAGGTTTTAAAGCGAAACGCATTGCCTTTTCGTTTGTTTTACGTAAAAGCAGCTGTTGGTTGTAATAACTGATGTTTAACTTCTTTTTAGCTCATCAACGCAGTGGTCTTACTCATCTTACTGTCTGCGCTCAATGACCCAGTGCAGTACCGGTATCACCTGACCAGCTCCGAGCTCGGCACTGACATCGATGTCATGGACGATGCAAGTGAGTGACATTCTTCAGGCCTCTGTAATTCAACTTTGATTTTAGATGAATATTTTGAACATTAAATATACTGTTTTATTTTTAATCTAAGCCGTTTTAATCGCTACACTTGGTTAAGAGAGAGAAGCGAAAAGGTGTATTCAGTTCATCATTGGATTGCAGAAACAAACCCACAGCTCTGAGACAAGCTGTAGATTTAAGATGTCCAGATTTAAGACGCAATATATAAGTTAAAGCCTAGGCTATTCTTTAACATGATAGTTTTGTTAAAGGATATGTGAAGATTCAAAATTTTAATATTTTACTAAATTGACTATGATCTTGGAATCTCTTGTATTTTTTTTATAAAACAATAGATTAAGCAGAGGAGACACTTAGCTTGTGTTTTAGAAGTACTGTACTAGTGCAAAAACTGAAAATTATTTGAAAGGCTATAGAAACTTCCCTTTACTGTCAACAAGCGCGTCGAACTGGGGGGTAAAGGGTATTGTTTACTCAGGGCCCTTTGCAAGGAAGGGCCCCTCACAAACTCCTCGAATATGCATTTTTCATTAGACAACATGTAGTGTGGCCCCACTAAAATGATTTTTACACAGGACCTAGAATTTGATGCTATACCCCTGACTGTCAAGTTACTTCTTCCAACGTTGTGTAAAACAGTGGACAAAGCCCAGCTGTGTTCCCTTGCACTCAGTCCTTGTATCCACACAGTGTTTTCAAACCTGTGACAGCGCCCTCCGCAGACTGCTGCTCTAAGCACTGGCAGCGCTGAGTCGGCTGTGGGGAAACATCTGAGTGCGTGTTTCCCTCCGGCCGCTATCGTCGTCACAGAGCGATTCTGTCACTGCTGCGTCTGATTAAAAACTGCTCTCAATCTCTGGCAGATTAAAGCCGCCATCTTGAACACCCCCTCCCGCCTGTTTGCTGGCTCTGAATGTGTGTGTTCTGTGCCGACGTGCACGTAAGCACCATTTCTGAAGGAGTTATTGTGTCTTAAGTTAACAAATCAGCGTTGAAAGTCTTGAATAGTTTTTTTAGAAATACTGGAAATGAAAAAAAACTTGGGATGAGAAATGCTGATATTTTACCAAGAGCAAAATCCTTTACTTTCTACACAAAAAGTGGTTAAAACCAATCATCATTTGTTTCTTTAGAGATGGTAATTCCCTCTGACCATGAAGAAGAGCTTTTTGAAACACTATGCTACACCTTCAAATTGTCCCCATTACATTATCTTTTATCAAAATGTAATGTAACTTTCTACTGTGGAGTAGATATATTTGTATGGAAATAAAAAGACTAATTTAAGGAACACAATAAAGGAAAAACTTGCTTTTCTTTGTTCTCTTTTTGGCAAAAAACATTAGTCAGTGGGGTTTTAACCCAGTTTACTTCAGTGTCTTGTGACTTAATCAAACTTCTCTCTTTATAATGAGTGGTATTTTGAAGACAGTGTGTCCTTGTCACCTCTGCCTCTTGACAAGTGCCCCAGCGGTCACAGCTGTAATGTGAATATGAGAGGTGTTATATTATGTCAAATTTAGCTCTGGTCTTGCATAACAATTAGCCTTCTGGTGGCCATGCTTTTCACAGATTGAGTGCTAAAAATAGTTAACGATCTTACTCAAGGTGCTTGTACTACGTCTGAATACACTGGATTACGTCTGGACTCATAAACGTGCTCAAGTGTTAGTTATATTGCTTTGTCTAATTTATGGTTGTGTCTTGCCTCCTCAGATATCTGCATAGCAACTGCAATATCCCTCCTTATGATTCTTATATGCGGCATGGCAACCTATGGGGCCTATAAGGTAAATAAACAGATTGTTAAAACACTAATTGTGCGTTTGTATCACATACTGACGGTGGAGTTTTTATTAAGATTGTCAAAAAAAAGAGTAATCAGTATTAAAACAAGATGCTTATTTGAACAAGAATCATTACAGAAAAAAAAATATAAAAAGGACAACATTTTATCTATACCAAAATTAGCCAAGACCTCGTGGTAACTTTAAAGAAAATTACATTCTATTGTCTAAAAAATAATTAATGTGGAATTCATTTTTAATGTTCTAATCTTTTTTTTATTTTTTTATAGCAACATGCTGCTTGGATCATCCCTTTCTTCTGCTACCAAATCTTTGACTTTGCCCTTAACACGCTGGTAGCCATTAGTGTGGTGGTCTACCCCAACACAGTTCAGGACTATCTTCAGCAGTTGGTAAATCCTGTTTTCCTTCACAGATGTGTCCTTTTCAGAAATCAGCTAGTATTTTTCTTTATAGTTCCTTTTGTAGTAAAACAAAGAGTGAGATTTTAGCCTAGTTTCCTTTATAGTCATGTTGAAATCTATTTTTGTGTATTTCTCTGCTTTTAGCCAGGGACATTCCCTTACAAAGAGGACATCATGTCCACCAACAACATGTGCCTAGTCTTTGCAGTCCTGCTTTTCATCGGCTGCATCTTAACCTTTAAGGTAAGCAAAAATACCCTATCACGCAATACAACTCACCAACTCAATCCCCAAATATAGGTTCAGTTCACTAGATAGAATGTTGAGTTTTTATTTATTTATCTATACATCCATCCCAAATTAAGAAACTCTTTTTTTCAAGGGTGTCCTGGCAAAGAGAAGGACAGATCAGCCGTAACATAAGCACAATGATAGACAAACCATATTAAACCAATTAAAAAACCTTTCAGTGTGAATTGGACCTTTTGGAACCAGTTAGTTTCAAGACCTTTTGTTAATTATGCCTGTTTGAGGGAGCAGAATATTGAGGTGCTATTTGTTGCCCAGTCAACATTTGTGTACACTGTTATAGATTGTTAGTTTCCAGTGCAACCAAGAAACTGCTAAACACCTGATTAAAAATAGCATAAGGTTTAGTTTGAGCTTGAAGTAATGTATTAACATGCAAAGTGTAAAGCCACAGTAGCATATCAAATATAGCATGACCTGAATTACAATGGATTTATCCTCCTGATAGGTGCATACTGTACAAGCTGCAGCTATTTTTATTTTGCCTTTTATATATGTATTGCTTTTAAGTTATAATCAATGCGTCAGGACACAGCGCTGATGCCAGGTGGGGATTAGGGCTGCAACATTTTATCTCTGTGACTACTGAAATTACCATTGACCATTTTAATAATTCTTATTCTGTATTCAAAAAGCTTCCATTTGGCATATTTAAGCTTCCTAAAGTAGTTGTATTTATATCATAATTCTCCTAGGCACAATTAAAAAAGATTGCTGTTATGTTATAGTAGTTAACAAGTTAACTACTATAATTGTTAGTTGTAGGCTGGCCTTAAAGGGGATTTACAAGTGTATTTTGTTTCACTGACAATAAGATATTTAAAGAAAGATTGGATTTTTATAGGAATAATTTGTATAAGAAGCGTTCACATTTGCACATACGCCATATCCAAATTTGGACTGAACTGGGACTAAACCTGGAATATAGAAGGATTAACCAGGACTGGAGCAAGACCAAACAAAATCTACTTAATTCATATCTAATGGATAGATTTACTTGAAGGGGCACTGTGTAACTTGTTCAATTGAGGCTCCATCACTTGCCTGTCTCCATGGAGATGTGCCTAGAATGTTCCGCAGTATAGCCGTAAACTTAAGAATCTCCATGGAGACTTGCAAGACAAATTACAAGTAAGATTTACAAGAGGTGAATCCACTCACAGTAAGATTTCATATTTTTAAGATACATTTGAACAATAAATAATACCTGTAGTTGAGTAAATGCAAAGTTAAAATAGTTAAATAGATTAGTTTAATACCATACTGTGGAGAATTTAAACAGGTGTTGCAGACCCTCTTCAAAAAAGTTACACATTTCCAGTGGAGTGTCGGTCACCTGCTTATCTCCATGGAATGCTATTGCTTTGTCTAGAATATTCCACGGTATATATTAAACCTGTCTATCACAAGGGAGATAAGCAGGTTACAGCACTACACTACATTACAGTTCAGATCTGTGGAGAGTCGCCGCTATTCATGGGAGAAATTCTTGTGTTTTTGAGCAATAGAAACACCCATAATAAAGAAATGCTAGATAGATAAGTCATACCATGGAACATTCTAGACAAACTAATAACATCTCCATGGAGACAAACAAGTTGAGACCCTCTCCAGAAAAGTTACACAGTGCACCTTTAAGCTACATCTTATGCCTGGTTTATTTGATAACTGTGTAAAGCCCATGAGTCCATGAGCTGTCCCATTGCCAGTGCACTTGATGAGGTTCTCATAGAGGCGTAGAGCAGCGGGTCAGGGGCAACAGAAAACCAACCCCTGTCAGGCGGATTGCTCTTAATGCATGGATGGGTCCAACAGCGCTGCTCTGCTCTGGGGCAGTCAGACGGGACGGGAGGGGACGTGGAGTTTCAGTCATCTGTACAATCAAATCACGGGCTTTCTCCTCTGAGCTCACTTAGAAAAAACACGGCAGAATTCATAGGCTGAAGCAAAGGGGTTTTAAAGGCAACCAGGCATTGGGAGAAACAGCACTGTAATTGCTAACTGCAGTAGTAGTAGTAGTAGTATCAGTCCATATTTTTTAATTTGTAGAGCTCTTTACAACACACCAGGTGACCAAAGTGCTTTTCAATGAAATCAATAGAATATAAAACATGCAAAAATGTTAAACAATGAAATGAAAGTGAGTGGGGAGATAAACTGAAAAATGGATAACAAAAATTGGAATATATGGAGTATATCGTCAACAATAAAACTATTGGGCTAGATTATAAAGACTCCAAAATCAGCTGATTTAAAATGACACAAGAAGAGAAACTTTTGTGTAATCTTCCAAACTTGGATTGAACTAGGATTTTCTGCTGTTTTGTGTTTAATTTTACAGTTTATTCATGTTTTGTGGTAAACTTGGACCTCAAACAAAACAGACATCATCTAAATATTGTCATAAAAAATGTAATATAAAGAAAGAAATTACTGAAGAATGGTCAATATTTAGAAAAGCAAATTGCAGAGATGATTCAGTACACATTATGCACACTAATTGGATGAAAAATAGTCAATGTTGTTTGCAAGAGGGTTCCCACGGTTCAGTCACTTTTAATTCAATGGTATTTGAATCAATTGTTTTACATACAGTGGTCTGTATTTAGATGCATATATTGACTTCTGAAATGTGTTTCCACGACACACTGCCACCGTCACTGAAGCTGGGATCAAATTTGATTTAAAATTACATAATAAGAGTCGTGACAGGAGAGGGGTAGAGAGTACATTCCGATTGGAAAGGTGCAGTGTGGTGGATCCTGGTGGCATTGACCTCAGCTCTCTCGATGTGGAGGTTAGACTCAGCAGATGGCATGGTGATTGGTTGGCATGGGAGTGAGCCATTGCCGTGGGCGGTTGGTTTTCGGAGCTGGCCCCGGGACAGGCTCAGCGAGCTCCTTCACACAAAAACAAAGGCCCCCCTGTTCCTCTGCTGCAGTCAGGCAAACCTTAAGCCTCCACTGGCTTCCTGCACAGAAACGTGCCAGAACTGAGGCCAGGCCCTAAATGACTAATGAAGACAGTCTAGAAAAGTCGAGGAAGACAGCTATGAAATGCTAATTCTAAGTACCAGTCTGTAGTAAATACAGTGTACTCAGATACAACTGTGAGAATACAATAAAAATATATAGATTTTTAAATGTAAACCAGTTGCTATTCCAATGGGATCGCAGTTTTCCAAAAGGGTCTCCAGATATGACCTATTCTCCTCTCAAGTTATTATTTTATTGTGTAGACAATAAAGTAAATGTAGACAAGTAAAAAGACAAAGTAAATCAATAACAGGCTGAGCTTACATGAAAGAGCATTTTGACAGACCTTGTTTCGATTTCAGTTAATTCATACCAGAGTTTTAAAAGTAATGTGATAATTATATTGTACCTACATAATGTATTTTAATACTAATCCTAATAATTACTCATTATGGCCATGTTATACTTCTTTAAGTCAAGTCATTTTATATAGCACATTTTAAACAACCATACGACAACAAGTGCTTTATAACAAGGAACACCACATAGTAAAACAATAAAACTAATATAATATATAAAATTGTACATGAAAACACATACAGCCTCCTAAACCTTAAAAGTGCACTGTGCAACGTTTGTGGTGGAGGGTCTGCTTCCTTTTGTATCCGCGGAAATGTTGCTTTGTCTAGAATGTTCCACAGTATAAATTAAACCTGTTTATCACAAGGGAGACAAGCAGGTTACAGCACTATATTACATTACAATTCTGCTCTGTGGAGAGTTGCTGTTATTCACAAAGGAATTATTGTGTTTTTGAGCAATAGAAAGGCATGTAATGAATAAATGCTATACAGTTATGTTTAATGTCATACCATGGAACATTCTATATGAAGCAGTAGCATCTCCATGGAGATGTAGGTAGCGAAACCTACACCAGAAAAGTCACACAGTGCACCTTTAAATGTGACTTAAGGCGTATTTTTTGTCCCTCTTTCTTGCTCTGATCATGAGCTGGTTTAGGAGGTCATATGTTCAGGTCCCTGCGTGATCCATCTCCTCTGTAAGCACATGTGACATTGATGAATGGTTGAAGTCTCAGCAGGTGATTGGGGTAATAAAGAAAAGTGGTGGCCGGTGTCCCTCAGAAGGTCATGGATTGTACTCTTGTGTCCCCTTTGAAACAGGCCTACCTGATTGGCTGCGTGTGGAACTGCTACAGATACGTGAGCGGCCGAGGCAGCACTGAAGTCTTGGTCTATGTCACCACCAATGACACTACGGTATGTGCCAGTCAGTCTCATCTCCACACACACACACACACACACAAACACACAAACACAAACACACAAACACCCTTGCACACCCACACACACACACACACACACACAAATACACATACACACCATTCGACTACTGCCATGTTTACACTACATATTCACACATATGTTTACGTGTATGTTTGCATGTTATTCCAGTTCACTGAGTTCATACCACTAAATGTACAAGGTAAGGTCTAGGTCTAGACACTGACAATATGAGTCAATTAGAGCAGTTGTTTAGCTTCCTGTTACCTCAAGCACCAACTGAATTTGAGTAAAAGGTTTGAAAGTGGAAGTGGTGTGGCATTCTCAAAATGTTTAATAAATTATTAAGGTGGTTGTTGGTTGCAAGAGGCTTAACCCAGTTCTGTTTAGCTATTCAGCTGTTGTTCCGTTGGTAATGCTATGTGTAGAATTTTAATGGATCATGTAAATAATTTACAATGACTGTGTAAGTTAATATAACTATTTAAAATCCTACACATACTAGTAGAGTACTGCATTACATTGCTGCAGTATATCATGAGACTCAGTTACCTGCATCTACTGTCTTTTAACTGGTAGTTGTTGTTTTTTTTATTAAAATGTCTCATGTTTTACTAAATTTAAATCGTTTATTTGCAGTTTTTGTGTGTGAAATGTGAATAAGTTATACATATGTATTCAACAAACTGATGGATAAATATTGTTTATTTATGATTACAAAAAACAAGAGAGTCAAAAAATTCAAAATTGTGCTGCACAAAAGTAGAAAAAATGTGAAAACATATAAAGTCTGAGCTATTTTTCTATAGTACTTGAGACACAACATCGCATAAATATCTAGTCTGTGAAGAATGAAATCAGTACATAACGCTGTTTTGATTTTGTCAAGAGAAAATGATATCAAATTGAGATTAGACTGATTTGTTTTTAATTCGCTTTGCCACATCGCCTGCCCTGCTCTGTGGTGATCGTAGACTGTATAAAGAGGTGGACTGAGGGAGTGTGACGTCACACATTCGGCTCCAGTCAAATAAAGCTCATGAGCCTAGCAGTTACAGGAGCGTTTATTGGAGCCAGAGTCGATGGAGCCGAAAGTGCTCGATGAACACTTCTTATATGGAACGCGGCAGCTAGCGGGTTAGCTATGTCCGTTTATACATGCAGTCTGTGGTGGTGAGTCACTGGTCTGAGGAGCTTTAGTGTGGTCACTCTTTCCATGTGTCGTCCTGCAGTAATCTCCACTGATACATAAGACAATAATCTGCCTCAGTACTCACAGTCACACTCCTTTGTCCCTGTGCCCTCATATGCACCTTACGAAACTCCCTGTTACTTTATGGTGGATCAGATCATGATGTTTTTCCATATGGTGAAACATATGGACTGTTTAGCATGTGGTTAGTGCTCACTAGACTGTAAGCCGCACTGTGCTACAGCCAGTCAAGCATAATAATTATTTAGTGTAAGAAAATAAACTGTAGCGCCACCTAGAGAACTGTACATCAAAAAACTTACATAAAAATGTTTTAGTCATTACACAATACTTGGAAATGTAATTACTATGTCTTCTTTGTTGATAATCGTCTTAGCCTACATACTAAGCAGTATATAGTGTAACCAAGCACTAATCTACAAGGAGTGCATTTCTTTGCTTCCATGTAGAAAAAATTGATTGGTTCACAATACAAATAAATACAAAAACAGTACTTTTGATACACTGTGTTAGTATTACATTATTATTATATTAGATGCAGCATGTTTCATCAGGCATAGAATCAAGCTGTAGATAAATTTAGTTGGAAAAAAAAAAAGAAAACACATTTTCTAGTTTAAGGCATGTTTGACTAGCAACAAAAAAGTAAAAAAAAAATAAACGCCTCCAGTACATAAACTTGGGCTATAATTATAAATGTGTGCTAAAAGTGTATTAATCCAACACGTATCTTTGGCACAAGTTAAAATCCGGATAAATCTGTACACTTTTATAGATTTAGGACCAGATGGTTGATTCAGAGCATTCCTCCGCTCAGTGAAAAGAGTGCTCCATCTATTTCCAGTCTTAGAAAGCAAGCAGTGTGTCTAAAGGGCTTTCAGCAGCCTCGGACATCAAGTACCCAGCTGCTTATCTGTTGTTGCTTTTATATAAATGCTATTAAAATGCACAATAGTTCGGCTTTCCTCTCTCTCTCTCCCTCTCTCTCCCACCCTTTCTCCTCTCTCCCTCTCTCTTCTTTAGATATACATGTCCACTTTCTGAACACAGTTAGTTACATAATTGTCTGCGTGTGTCCGCTCTGCTTCAAATCCTAGTTGTGATGTGCTCGCCGGGCCTCCCTGACCGTTTCACTATTCTTTTGCTTGGAGCATATTCTCCCTCTCCCTCCCTCTCTCCCTCTTTCTCTCTCTCTTTCGCCCTGAATAAGCACTGGTTTTATAACACCATTTGGAGTCTGCGCTTGTTGCTGGTCATGCCTGTAGCAGTGAGACGTAACAGCGGGAAATAGAGGACAATGACGATGTTTGGAAAGTCCTTTTCAGACCATGTTTACATCTTATTTTTAAATCCACATAAAATATTTAGCAGTAAATATGAACAAGTGCTATCCAGAATACTTCAGTCCACAAACATGTTAAGGGTGGGCTTAACGCTGTGGGACCAAAGAAAAAATTGTATCAGAGATGGAGGCAGAAAGAAAGTGCGTTTTTCAATTACACGCACACAACAAAACATTAATTCTTGCTGTGAGTTGGTCTCCATGGATACGAATAAGTTTAATGCCATTCTGTGTAACATCTCAGGCAAGTAATTACATCTCTGTGGAGACAAGCGTGTGGCCCACCCTTCACCAGAAAAACTTTTAAAGAGCACATATTATGCTATTTTCTGATCTATGTTTTAGTACTGTTTCCTCATCAAAAACATGTTCAGTGTTGTATCATTCATGCACCAGTCTTGCATATTTAGGCTGTGTTTTTCTATCAAACACTCTGTTCCACCTCGTGATGTCATGTGGTGATACAGGATGTGTTTTTTCTGTGTTTTTAAACTCCATACACCTGCACTACAATCAGCCCTGGAATTACCTATCTCTGAACTAAAGGTAAAAGGGAGCTATTAACTTGAAAACTATCACTCCATGACATCACAAAGTGGAACAGAGCATTTTGAGCTTTGGAGATGTAGACAGACTAATAATAAAGGATTACTCAAACGTGTGAATGAAACAAAACACAACCCCAGGTGTGTTTTTGGTGAGATAACATTTAAAGAAACTTTGATGGTTTGAGTGGCTAAATTAGTTTGTTTTCATTTCATTTAAAGATCTAATTTGCTGTTTTAAAAGAAAAACTTAAACCTACATTTGTATTCCATTTCAGGTCCTGCTGCCCCCCTACGAGGAGGCTATTGCCATCCCGCCCAAGGAGCCCCCGCCCCAGTATATGGAGGCATGAGCACCACATACTTCTCTGCTGCTGGTCCTCTGCATGTACCCCCTCCTCCTCCTCCTCCCCCCTACTCACCCCAACCCACCCTCTCCACCTCTTCTACCCCCTCGGACTTCCTACGCTCCCAATGGTTCTTGTTCAAATCAAAACAAAAGGACTTATCCCAAGGAGGTCCCAGCTCCAAATCTTAAACCCTAAACTCTGAAATCGCACAACATTTCTTGGTTGTTGTGGCAGACTGACTTTTCAAAGACAAAAAAATGGCACTTTTCTTTGACCCAAAAGTGCATCGTGTGGCCACCAACTGTTACTACAACTCCTGATACTGTGAATCCTTGTTGTCTTCATTGATAAACTACCTAAAAGTGTGTGCATGTGAGCAAATGAGAATACTGGCTGGTTTTGTGAGAGCACTTTTTTCAGATGAATTCCCATTGAATGTAATGTTGGGGTATTTTTGTATGACTTTTGTATAACAGTGAAAAAGGGAAAAAGAAGAGAATAATAATGACCTGTTAAAAGTGATGTAATGTGTTATGGTGTAGTGCTGAAAAGAAGGGGTGTGGCAATGCATGGGAAATAGGCTTAAAAAATATAATAACTGAAAGAGTGATTTGCATTTGACAGATAAAAATAAATAGTCTACTACAAATAGGCCTGTCACGATGATACATTTTGAAGTGCGATATATTTCTAAAGTAAAAATAATATTGAAATTCGTTTATGCTACTGACACAAAAACCCAAGAGCAGATTCAAACCACAAAAACTATTCTAAATTTACAGTATTGTTAAAAAATCATGAGCTACAATAAATAAATAGCAGAATGAAACATGGCTTCTATGGCTTAAATCTTATCATTTAGCCAAAAAAAACTAAACAAAAATTTCCCAGCAGTGCAATGCAAAATATATACACGCTAAAAAATATAGTTCCTTCTTTCACCTTTCTCTCTTTCTTTCATTTCTCTCACTAGTATTTATCATGACAGGCCTAACCACAAATGTATAGATAATATTCATTGAATATCTGTCAATACATTAACCACACACTGTTGTTTAACCTCACTCAGTTAGTGAAGTAAGAAGATTGTGAAATACGTGCATTGTTACGTCCCCTCAGAAAAAGTTGTACCGACCAATAGGAGCTTGTCTTCCTTTTGTATTCAATATGTCTCTGTAATATTGTACCGCATTGATTTCTATAGAAACTCTACTCCCACTTTCGAGAGATCCTTTGTGTAATCATTCTCTGAAGCACTTATTATACAATTAGTGCGTCTCAAAATGACCCAAATGTGAATCTGGTAGAGTTTTCTAATTGTGCTGTTATCATCTTGTGTCCCTATGAAGTTATGCAGTGTTGACTGTCTTATTTTTTACACAATTATGACTTTTTGTTTTGACTTAGCTGGACTGAGGGCATTTTCCTACAAAAGACAGTGTGATATGCTGCTGAACTCGTCATGTGTGCTTGAAGCTGTTTGTAGTTTCTTTTGCACGTGGTTTAATATCATGATGCATTTTTACTCCTTCTGTCCTTTGAAAGCGCTTATGTTTTTCAAAGCATTTATTGAAATAGCACAGTAGCACAAATCAGATGATGCTTAGTAGTTCATGAAGACTTTTACAGGTAATAGAATAAGACTGGGGTAGATTATGCTCAACTAGGACTGCGCAATATTAAGAAAAGGGGAATTTAAACTATGTGAAATTTGTGTAACTGTTATGTTTACAATTAACATTTTAATCGCTGTTTCCCTACCCTACTCCAAACTGGAAAAAAAAATCGAAAAAATCTAAATGAAAGGAATTAAAATGAGACTAGACCAATGCTGAATTGAGATATCCAACTATTTTAATTGAAGTAAAAATAATTGGTCACATTTCGGATGTTTTTAAAACATGTACTTCTAATTTGGCAGGTCTTGTTTTATGTCAGTCAAAAAATAATCTGTGCTATATTGTGCAACCTCCTACATAGATCTAGCCATGCAATTATTAACATGTGGTATTCTTACTATGCAAAAGTTAGTGTAAAATTGATCCTTTCCATTTGATACTAATGTGTTAGTGAATATTGTATCCTTGTCATTGTCCCTGTGAATCAGTGCTTCTGCAAATCCAACAAAACAGCACTTTATTGTGAGTGAGAAAGCCAACTCCTCCTATACAAACTGCTGTAAGAGTGTTAAAGCAACGGCCTCTTTTGTATTTGTGTAACAGGCCAATGTATGCTGTTACAGGGACTACCGGCAGAGTGGATGTAGACTGGACCTTTTACAATTACAATCACCAAGACTGTTCTGTCTCTGTTTACTCATAGTGATCTTGTTGGATTTGCACGAGCCCATGTCATCAAATCTGAATAATAATAAAAATCGAATAAATAAAGTTGCATTGTGGTTTGAATTTTTGTTTATTTTGTAGCTTCTTTGAAACAGACCTGTTTAGGGTGACCAGATTTTCAAAATAAAAAAACTGATACGTCCCTGGCTTGGGTTGGTTAGTAATAATAAAACTGTGAAACAAATGCGTAATTAAGGGAAATTGTTACGCACTCCACACTAATGTGAGTCAGTAGAGTCATGGTTTCTTTGTGTTTTGGTCATTTTTAAGCATACTTATTTGTATTTTACCTAAACGGATCACAATTTATGCCTCTCTTTATTATTGGCACAGATCAGATTGGTCAAAAATAGGGACATCAGGGACATTTCTTGTATAAAAATGGGACAAATCACTGGTTTTGGATAAATCTGCTGGGACAGGGGACACAGGGCTCAAAACTGGGACTGACCCGGGTAAATGTCTGGTCACACTAGACCCGTTGTCAACTACTTTGTCATAGGGTGCGATGTTAACACAATTTGGTACAATTCCCTGTAAGCATGTTCTATCTGAAGTTTTGTTAGGCTTTAATCTGGTCTTTATTTTAATGTAACCTTACCCGAAAGAAGTGATTTAATGACACAGCTGAGTTGAGTTGTGCTGTTAAATTAGTCCGTCTCACATAACATTAGTTACAGGTTAACTAGCAATAGTCAACAATTTTTCCGGTAGTCACCCCAAAAGTGACTCCCAAAACTCCCAAACAGGACCGTAGATGCTCGTATTGATCACAGGCTCTTGATTTAGTGTTTTTCAAGTGTTTTGCCAGTGTTTGCTTATGTGTGTATTGTGTCTCCACGGTAACTCAAACATTTCACCATTAGAGATACATGTCGAACACCCCCAGCATGATGTCACTGCAAAGTATGAATTGGTGCATATAGGATTTACAGCACAATTCTGTTGAAATGGCTGGATACAATTCTTACTGACAGTAGTCTACAAAACCTGCAGCAGTGTTTCATGTGGGTGACCTCGTGTCTGCAGATTCAGCATCTCTCCTCTGCCCTCACAGGGATAAACAGACTGGCAGATCAGCATGGATTTACTGCCATGCTGCAAAATGGTGGCTGGCATTACCTTAGGCTTCATGTTAGGCAACTAGATGAGCTCACCTACTTTTTCAGCTCTGGGACAGGACAAGACGAAAAGAAAATCAAGAAAAGTAGGTCAGTTTCAGGATATTTGGTAAATGAAAATGAAATATCTGATATTGGTTAAAACTGATGCACAGCCAAATACAGTGTGTAAAATGGGAATCCCACTGTTAAGATTATACAGGTCACAATATAATAGTAAAAAAAAAACAAAATAAAGAATGAAAGTTTGATTGCATGAGCTGCTCACTTGTTAATGTTTATTCCAATTTTAGTATGTTTTAGCAAACTAATGGTTATTTATTAGACAATGAAAAAGGAAGTCTTCGATGAACATGAAATTTTGATGTTTCTTCTCACAATATAATTATTTTTAAAAAGCCAGACCATCTTGTCATAGCCTGAATCCCTCTCTTCTCAGAAGCTAAGCAAGGTCAGCCTGGTTAGTACTTGGATGGGAGAGTGCTGGGAAAATCAGGTGCCACTGTGTTGTGTCCTTAGGCAAGGCACTTCACCCACATTGCCTAGTATGAAAGTGGTGTGTGCTTGAGTGTTGGTGGTGGTCAGAAGGACCAATGGTGCCGATTGGCATGGCAGCTGTACTTCACTCAGTCTGGCAAGGCAGACAAGGCAGCTGTGGCTACAATAGTAGTTTACCACCACCACCAGGTATGGAGTGAATTAAATAAATGTAGTTAATACGATTAACTGAGATTCAGGAGCAGGACCACGCCTCAGCCGCCCTCTCCTCTCACCGGCGAACCACAACTCACCTCGACCACGCCTCTAATTTCCCAGAAGCCTATATGTAGCAGCCTTTCCCATCATCCCAGTTTGTCTCGGCGAACTCGACCCCACCCTCCCATCCCCTATTTTGTCTTTCAGTCATAAGACCCCTACAAGGGGGGTCCCGTTCTGGCTGGGCCAATTGTAGATTGAGACGGAGCCCCCACCCATAGTCTCAACCCAGCCATCTTTGCCTCGCTTTGTACATTATCAATAAACTACTTCGCACTATGTTGTCGTTGGCGTGGTCCTAGCTAGTGAATGCTCTGTAAAGTGTCTTTGTGGCATATGGCAAACTTACTTACAATTTTTAACACTATATTTTTAAATCATGTGGCAACAGAGGAAATACAAAGTGAAATACTAGATAAATGTTGGAAGGATTTTTCAGTTTTCAGATTTTATATTTTTAAGTTAAATGAAGGACTCAATAAGTCAAATCAGTAAATGGCTTGCATGTAGAATCTTGATTACAAATTCCATAAACATGGCCCATAAACATGATGAGCCCTTTATGATCTATGTGCAGGTTAAGGCATCTCCTGCTCAGTTGTGATTGCAGTACCAGATCAAAATAAACCAAAATGACTTGAGTTGGAATATCCAGTTATTTTCTTCTATTACTGTGCATTATTATACTCACTGTATAATGCATGTGGCAAATTCTATTTTTCTACCATTTCCTATGATGTTGCGAGGGATGTATAGGGGATGCACAATCAATAATGAATTAGATGAGCATATAAAAACAAAGTTCACTAGCTCTGCTGCTTACTCATCCACACACAAGAACCCACCCAGCTTAAATTGTGTTATTGATAATGCACAATGACATTTACACAACAGTAGTGTACATTTATGGGTTTTATTGAATATCCTACAGCAGGCTTCCTCTTCTCTATTTTTAGCCCTGGTCGTTTAAATGAGTAAATTTGATTGTACAACTGTCACAGATATGGAGCCATCCTCGCTTCCTGCTGGGCATCTGCTGCACGTGCATGGCTTCAGGAAGAATGAGTTCATTCAATTTAACCAGAAATCTGAAAAACAGCTTAGCTATGCATTGAGTGGGAAGAGAAACTCTAGTTTAGCATGACTGACACTGGTTCTGGTACAACAGAAACTAGCAACTGTTTGAATGGGGAGCTAAATTTTAGCTAGAATGTTCCACAGTATGGCAGTATTTATTTTGCACATTACATAAATCCGTAATTTATAGTGTGACATTGTACCAAGGTTGTTTAGGTATTGTACTAGATTTATTCTATAGATTACATTTAATATTCAGTAAAGTGTAAAATGTACATTGAAAGTTCTAGATGATTCTAGGGAGATTGACTGGACTGGACCCATGTTCACCAGCTTCAGTGAGCGGTAACAGAAAAGCCTAATCTACTTAATCCACAGCCACCAATCCACTCCCACCAGCTGGAGATGTGGCTATAACTGTCACAAATCTAGCCATGCACAAACACCAGTTTTTAGCCTCAGGTGTGAGAGCTGACGGTAAAGTTGTCTCCAGTGTGTAATGAAACACAGATAATGATCCAAAGATCAAGAAACCAAAGTCAAATAAAAGGACATGTAATACAATATTCCAGTACATTTTGTACGAACTTGTAAACAATGTCAAATTTTCACCTACCGGTACTTGGAATCTTAAACTTGCTGGTTTTAAGGAGTGACACTTAGTGTACTAAGCAGTAAATATGTGTAAAGCCTTTAGTATCTGTAAAAGGACATGTCCCTTCCTCGATCACACTCAACACCAAGTGTCTGATGGTCTCACATGTTTTATGTAAAGAATTCAGAATACATCAACAAAGATCATCGGTTGTGCAATTTTAAACATTTTTTAAAGTTCAAAGTAATACTCTAATAAAAATACTGAACCACTAATGTCGAAAAAAAAAAAAAGAACCAGAAGTAAATTAACTAAATCACTGGTGCTCCCTGGTGGACAGCTAAGGAAACGCATGAGAAAAAAGTCAATAGAAATGAACTGTTTACACCGACTTTATTTATAACAATGGGGCAGGGGACAGCTTTACTGTGGCTGGGGCTGCTGGTCGGGCATGCTTCTGATGATGTCCGAATCGCCTGAAGAGGAAAACAAAATAATCAAAATGCATCAAACATGATCGGTACCATAATTTCGTGTTAATTAAATGTTACCAACTGGACTTTCACATTTTAGTCAAGATTATGCCTGACCATTCATCTGAACAATCCAGAAGGCATTTTTCTAGCGAACCACTAGTCCTGCAGAGGACCACAGGGGCCAGGTCCCACAGGCGCAAAAATTCGCAGAGGAATAAACAAGAGCAAACAACACTAGTCAGATGAAGGCACTCACCGGGGTCGATGATGGCCAGAGTGCAAACTCTGTAGTATTTTCCACAGGCTGTACCAAGCTCAATGTTGTTGCCGCTGTAGTGGTGCACACCAGTCTTGGCCAACATAGCGTAGTATTCAATCTCAGATTTCCTGCAAGACAAACGGGTGCTACTGTAAAAAAGGCTCTAATAATCTGTGTGTAATTCAGTGATAAGCGTGGTTGACATTTGCAAAGTGACATTATTGAAATGTGCTAAAACACCATATTAAGACATGACTGATGTTCAAGAATTGCTCTTATGTGATGGAAATTTAAAAACAAACATCACATACTTTGAAATGTTTACAAGTTTCTTGTTTTTTTTAAATCAGTAAATTGAGTCATGTACTCAATCTCTACATGCATAATGACATGAGCGATGAAATTGCCTTCTACTTCAGAAGTCACCTTCTGACACTCACTTATTCACCAAGAAATTTATCATCAGTATGGCAAACAAATACAATACATTGACAAATATAATAACTGAAATACAACAAAGCTGAAACAATAAAATGAAAAACACCACGCAAATCTCGTGTTGTTTTCTTGCTGCCATGTACCTGAGTGCGGGGCAGTTGTTTGCAAGGATGACCAGCTTGGCTTTTCCCTGGCGGATCATCTTCTGGGACTGCTTATATCCCAGGACGTATTTGCCACTCTTCATCACCAGCTGGAGCCGGGAGTTGATGGACTCCAGGGACTTTTTCTGTGGCAAAAACGTGGATGAACGTCAGTGAGACGCACACAAGACAACTGCTCATCTACAATGTGCCCTCAGCTACGACAGTGACAAGTTGCATACAGACACATTAGCACAATGTTAGTTCTCTAGACCTGTCGTTAAAAGACTAAACTTTATCCACGTTGACGTTTGACATAAACACTAAATAGCTTAGCATTAGCCGAGCATCAGACGGCATATTCAAACTCTCGGTGAACAGCGCAAACTATGGACAACACCAAGACACTAACCCGATGTTTAGTCCATTTAAAAAGCCAAGAAACTAAAAACGCGTTGTCCACACGAGGTTTCACTAATCAGAGTATCTACAGACAAGACTGGAGCTAACAGGCCGAGGCAGAGACCAGTCTCCACGTGAAGCCGCCGCCACACGGTGCGGACACTCACCGTCTTCTTTGCGGCCACCATTTTGTGAGTTAGTCCGGTCCGGCCAACCTACAAGACACAGGAGATAAAGCGTGTTAGTCTTAGGGCGCAGTAACGGGAATCTGTGGCCTTTATAACAGTGTTTTTAATCTAAATAATCAGAGCTCCGCTTACTGTGAGTTAACTCCAATATGGCCTCGGAGTGAAAGGAAGTCCCATGGTGCTTTGCGCATCTTTCTGTAGTTGGGGTGCGCAGAGGGCTACCGCGCAGCACACGCATCTTAGTTGATAACTACTGCGTCCAAAGTAAGTTTATTTCATAATTAAAGTGATGTTTGTCTTTTTGTTATTAAAAACACAACACAATATTGTCTGTGCATGCTCAACACTAACAAGGTAAGGCAAGGCTCCGCTCCTCTGTAGTTGACATCTACAGATGGGCTGAAAACGCCCACGTCAGTTTTATGTTTATTATGACAGAACTTTAATTTCCTTTACCATACGCCAATGAAATCAAGTATTCTTTATTTATATAGCATTTTACAATATTTAAGGTGGCCAAAGTGCTTTCCAATAAAATCTCCTAGGCTCCTTTATCAGCCCTTATGTGGCTATCGACTTCCCTACAGCTTATAAGGCATGTTCTAAGCCGGGCTATTACATTTGCCCTTTAAAGGTTCTAATGGGAAGTTTTGTAGAAGTTGAACATTGACAGTGTTTGCTCTAGGGAGCTATGGCAGTAGCTATGGCATTAAGCTGCTTTCCCCGCCCCAAAGGTCTGTGCGCTCTGACTAAATAATGCATTTCTGTACCAGCACCATCCTCCAGCCACACGACTCGACCAAAGGCACAATAAACTGTTTGGTTCTAACTGCATTTTCCACATGCAGCCGCGGCTCAGAGACGGTGGAGGAGCCTGCACCATGCGCCATTACGCACAGGAGGGGACTAGAGGAATTTGACTTTGTGTGACAGTGGCTGGCCATTTGGAGACAGTGAGCGACGTCACTAGGGCATCAGAAGCATCAACACAAACTTGAAGTTGGACACGCAGTCCTCTATGCGCACGAGACGAGATGGGGTGCTCCACGAGTTCACAAACTTCAACCGTTGACCCCGCTCGACCAGGCAGCAAGCGCGAGGAGAGCAATGGGGCCAGCACCACAGGTTAGTCAGAGCTATAATTATTTTGTCATTGCTTGCTCCAAATACAACATTATTTTAAATACTGACAATTTGAATAGAAATGTACAATAGAAATGGCATACAAGGAGAAGCTGTTTAATATGACAGACTTTATAAACTGTATCTGACATTGATCATCCACATTTCATGCTCAATGGGAAATATACTTTTGATGTGAGCCATTTTATAACCAACGTGTGCTGTTACTAAGCAATAACAAACATGCATTAATTCACAAAAAATGTAGTGTTTTATTATTTTATTTGAGTGTTTGGGTCTAAAAATAGTCTTGGGGCTCCTGTTGAACTGGTGTCATTGCCTGCTCCGTATAGAGTGTCCTCATCCATTTACCACCGCCCGAGTTCAGATAAGAAAAACACTGAGTAAATGCAAATGTGGAGCACAGCAGGCGATATCTGCGGTGCTTGTCAGGTTGGGTGTCCCTATGGGAAAGTTTATTGTTGTTGATTAACAGTGTTTTTGGCTCTGTACCCCCATGATAGGGACAGTAGAGCGCACAGCGAGGCTTTGATGACAGTCTACAATTTCAATAGGAAATGGAGAAGCCACTTTGAACACGTCTTTGTTGTAGTGGGTCAGAAAAGACAGGTTGTGGTGCAGTAAGTAGTGTTTTCTTTGAACAGACAGATTGATGTGACAAGTTTGAATAAGGCATACATCTCTCCCAGTTTATTTCAACTATGTAAAGCTGCACAATGTACATCTTCTGATGCTTTCACCTGCTTGTTTACATGCAAATTTCATTGCTTTGCTATATTTCATCAGCTTAAAACTCATCTTTTCCTCAAAGTCTATAGCCCCACACATGACTGCTTTTTGCTACGTATTTTTGTTTGTCCTGCCCTGTTTTGTTAAACTATTGTGCAGCATCTTTGAGTTACTGTGAAAAGCGCTTTATAAAACCAATGTATTATTGCCTCAAATGTCCTGCACAGTGTTGACATTAAATCTATGTCTTGCATTTATTCAATTGCAGGTGTTATTATTTCTCAAAATTATCCAGAAAGAATTGCATTCTTACTGCCAGTGACCTCGCCTCTCCACAGATCTGAACTCTAAATTGGCCCAGTGGCGTCTCCTGCTTGTCTCCATGGAGACAGGTACGTTTAAAGCCATACTGTTAAATATTCTAGCCAAAGCAATAACGTCTCCATGGAAATAAGCAGCGGACCCTGCACCAGGTACATAGTTTATCTAAATGTTTCTCCTCTAAGGTTACCAAGCAAAGTGCTTCCTGTACAGTGTGTGTTGATTCATGTACTGGTTTGGACAAGGCTCATCAGATTTTTGAAAAATATCTATTACAATTGTTTCTGACAAATATTTAAATATTTGCAGTTTCTGTTTTAAAATACAAAACATGTGTCATGTGAGAAAAAACAGAAAATGCTCTTCAGTTATCCCATGCATTTCTGTATATGTTTCAGGAGGTTTTAAACTAGATTGTTGAAAAGAATGATAACAGAGAGACCTATGACCTAATGACCATTTAAATTGTAATTTCACTTCCATTACAGTCAATTTAGCAGGCAAGTTTGGACACCTTTTAAATTTTACTCCAGATGGCCTTCCTGTCATAGTCCTCACTGTCTATATATGCCTTAAACCTTTACAAGGAGTAAAACCTCTAACTAAATGGACATGTCATTGCTATATTGTTTTAACAGGTGTGCTAATGTTGCAAGTGTTGGACATATTTCTTTATCTGATTGCACAAGGCAATGGTTTAAGATAATACAATAAAAAGAAGATGGAAGAGACTCAAATGATTGCACATTGTTTGAATTGCAAAGGTAGCGTTGTAGAAAACACATGTCCTCTTATCATGTTTGGATAGTCAGATGAGGCAAATTATGTAACCATTATAGGAAAGGGTTTAAACCATCAAGGAAAATATTTGGGTTCCTGCAATAGTTCTTTAAAAGTATATAGAAATTGTGAAAAAACAACATATATATATCAAATACACTTGCAATGTTATGCAATTGTATTCATACAGTGATATCAAAGTACACAAATGTGACACCTGTTTTTCATATTTTGATTAAGAAATATTTTTCTTATAAATGACGTAAGGCTACTCAGCATCCTTCCCGTCTAGGGCTTGAGGACAGATGGAAATGAGGATTGTTTTCTTAAAGTTTGCATGTGTTTGAAAGAGCTTATTTACCTGGAACATCCATTGCAAACAAGTAAACAAAATAGAAAGTTTTTTACGCACTGGTTTGTATGTTCATAAAATATACATTTAAATGGGAGGTGAGTGATTATATAAAGGCATGTTCTTGTAAAGAAATATAGAAAATATATGAAAGTTGAGATGTAATAATATACAAAGCTTTTCAGGCTAAAGATGCTTTACATAGGCAAGAAAAACACTAGACTACTGCAAGAAACAACAACAATGTTTCTACAGTATGTTGCTATTCACAAAATTGTACATTCAGTTGTATACTATCATTTGACTATAATCTGTGACACTAATCTGACAGATTGTGATAAAACAACAAAAATCCACAATTCCTTAGAGCAGTAAATTCCTTCACATGCTTCACAACTAGAATAGCCATGTGATTCGTAATACTATGAGATCGAATGTGTATGAAGAGAAAGTTTGGTCTGTTACCTGAAGCACACCTTCACATTGGTCACACCAGTGAAATTAAAACCTTGGCCCTTGACTTTGAGTCATACGGTTGCAGAGACAGTGTTATACAGGGACAAAGCAAAGTGCCCAAAACCACAACACAAACACACGCACACTGATTTTGTTTTCAGTGCCAATGTAACAACACATTGTCACTTTACAGACACATATCTACCGCCTTCTTTGCCTTTGAGGGTCCAAAAAAGTGCTATGTAACTTTGATGAATTATTATTATTATTTGAATCACTGGTGTGATTGCCATTGTGCCCAGGTGCTGCCAATGAGAATGGGAATGTTGCTGAGGACAGTGTGACCCTCCCGGACCAGACCCCTGCTGCAGCTGAAGAGGCTAAACCAGAGGAGGCCGCCCCAGCTGCTGCGGTTGAGGAAACCCCGTGTGCCGCAGATGAGTCCCAGCCCACAGACAGTGCTCTCCCCGAAACAGAGGCAGCCCCTGCAACTGATGCTCCCACGGACGCCCCAGCAGAGGCCCCTGCAGAGGCTCCAGCAGAGGCTCCAGCAGAGGCTCCAGCAGAGGCTCCAGCAGAGGGCGCTGCTGCAGCTGAGACCACCACAGATGCCCCCTCAGAAGAACCAGCCCCTGAACCAGGTGAACACTCATTGTGTTATTCAAAATGATCTCAGGTCAAAGGATAATCAATGGAAAATGCTGTATTAATTATTTACAAATACCACTCACCATATTCATGGGTTTCACCCATAGACTGTATAAAGAAGTGGAATAAGAGAGTGTGACATCACCTATGGCATTTGACTCCAGTCAAATGAAGCTCACAAGGCTAGCAGTTATAGGACCAAATTTGGAGCCAATTTCATATTAGATATAGAAATTTATTTATGGACAAAACAGTGAAATAAACACACCAGGGTCATGTAGAGTAGGTTAATACAAACATTTTAAGACCAAAATGATGAGGCTTACAGCAGCAGTCACAGAGAGACAAGTGACATTCTAGTGTAAAGTCAAGAATATTTAAAGTTTTAAATGGTTGCTATGGCAACAGTCCTAATTTTTCATCATTCTGAAAATCATGGAAAAATATCACAATTCAATTTCTTGGTGGCTGGTTAACAAATTTATTCTCAATTCATGAATGCTTTATATTGCTAGTTATTTAGTTTTTTTAAGAGTTCACACTTCACTGGGATTAGATAAATCTCCCATAGTGTTTGGCTCCAGTCAAATTAAGCTCATGACAGTAGCGGTTATAGGGAGAATTTGAAACTAAGTTTCATATTAGTAATAGGAATTTATTTATGGACAAATATTTACATGACATCACTTCCAGCTTGGCAAACTAAAATAGTTTATGGGCCTATCCAGCCAAAACCACATGCTTTGACAAGAATGTCTGGCTGGTCAGGAAAATCATTTACAGTTTTACAGTTGAATACATTCTTTTTATACCACCCATCCCTTACTACAACATAAGTACTATTATCACTACTTCAGTTATGCACATACCTTAACACTAGGGGGTATAGGCAATGAAATGGAAAATCCCTGATCAAAGAAGACTATTAACTTTCCTTTATTTTTGTGACATATTCACACATTCAGGATCCACTAGTGACCTGTTCTCAGTTTAGTCTTGATGTTCATTGTGTGTCCCATTATCAGGCCCCAGACACACAGTCCCATTGGTGACGAGGTAACCAGGCCGTATCCAACAACACCACTCAAGAGGCTGTGGCTAATAATGAACACACAGGGGTCACCACGCAGGAATCTGTTTATCTGTTACACATCCAGGAGGGAGGAAGCACATATGACTGGTTAGACTAGTAATTTCTCTAAAATGTAGTTAAAGTTGTGTAACTTTTTTAGTGGAGGGAGTTGTTACTGTTTTGCCTTGATTATTTCACAATATGGAAATAAACTTAGTAATTTCCATATTAGGTTTATGGAGAAGCAGGCCTGCACATAATAAGAATTCATGTTGTTCACAGTAATGTTGCATTATAAAACACCTGTGATTAATTAAATGCAAGATAGATATGCTTAATGCCATACTGTGGAACATTCCATGCAAAAGAAATAACATCTCCATGGAGACAAACTCACCTTTAACACAAATATGTTTAAATAAAAAATTGTAATCTACTGTAGTTTTTAGTTTCACTTATAATCTGTAATTTAACTATAATCTATCTGTTATTAAAATCTAGTTTTCCCTATTTATTTTATTATTATTATTATTTATTTATTTTTTAATAGAGGTAATTCCATAACTGTCTAGCCACCATACTATAACAGGGGCCAGAGCTATTCTAATTTAATGAAAATATGACACGTGTATTTTCTTAAATGAATAACTGTTTTCCTTAGGGATTTTCTTTTGATAGAGAGAACTCAGTTTTACTTCCTGTCATTTTTTCAACTTAAACACAATCAAATTCTACAATATACATGCAACTGATGTAAAACTATGATAAATATTTAACACAGGTACCAAAAAGCCAACCAACCAACCAGCCAAACAAACAAAAATTAAATCGTGCCATACGGATTTAAAACATACACAATTACTGGATAATAATCATCAAAAACACATTGCAAAGTAAATTATTTGCACAATTGATTTAAAATGGTTGCATGGTTGTGTGACAAGAGCTGAATGACTTTTACTGTGGCTACTTAATTTATTGTATCTAGATGCAAATACGTCCAAAGCCTGCGGCAGGTTGAAGGGTGCACTATTTTCTTTTGCCTCATGCAAAGTGCTAAGAGGCCACATAGTCTGTAATATGTGATCAGTTATGACCACATGTTAAAAATGAATGTTGTTCTGCAGCTGGGAATGAGTTGAGACCGAAATATTTGGGGTCATGGGCAGTGGCAGAGAGAGACTGAAGAACATTGTAGATTTTCTTTTTTGAGCATTTTATTTGCTTGATTTAATGCACAACTTCCTTTCGATATACCTGAATACACTTTTATTTATATAGTCACATACTTTTTGCAAACTAGAAAAGACTATTAGTAGAATATAGATTAGAAGAAGAAGAATATGGATTTTAGATTTTTTAAAATATTATTACTGTATAATACATAGTTGACTAGGGCTCTGAAATCTGAATCTCTTGAAATAATGGATTTATCATGAATATTATACACATAAGCAAGATAAATAATAATTATTAAAAAGAACTCTTAACTGAAGTACACTCCATGTGACATCTACCAGTTTCATTTCAACAGTTTGTTTATTTTTTTTGTTGCAGTGATGCACCCTCTCTGTGTGTGAACAATCATTTGAATTATTGTGGCTTCAATTCTGATTTAAAATCATCATCATTATAGCCATAATATAGATTCATACTTAGACAAACTTTATTGATCCACAAGAGAAATAATTTGGACACAGTAGCTCAAGCATCACAATAAATATAATATCAAAGAGAAAAAGTGTTATGGTGTAGCAATAGCTAAAAAGAGACAGAGGGAACTACATAGACCATGATCCTTTGCTCCATTTCAGCTCAGACTACATGAAGAAATAACAGTTTTAAACTATTTTCTTAGTTTTCTTAGTCTTAGTTCTTTGGATTAAGTCTTGTCAAGGCATTTTAAGAGGAAAAACAGTTAACAGTTTTGTTAGCCTCCACAAATTATCGCAATAAATATCATACTGTGAGATGTATATTGTGAAAATATTGAGCTGAGAGATTTGGACATTGTTACATAATTAATCATAAGCCTCCCCACCGTATCGTGAGCTTTCCCACGATATCACAATAAATATCGTACCCCGAGACGATATCGTATCGTGAGACTTGGATATCGTTACACTTCTAATAGTAAATATATCTCGGCTAACAGTAGCTCCTGATTATTTAGCAGCCCCAGTCTAATCTTGACTCATTTTTCTTACATTAATCCTACTTTATTTACAGAAAAAGCAGAAGCCATAGAACCTGCAGCAACAGAGCCCAGCACAGAGGAGACACCAGGTAAACTTTGTTATTGAAATCCCAACACGAATTTCAAATCTCTGTCACTCAAACCCTGCTCTGTGTTTACAGCTCCCAGTGAGTAAAGCAGGACTGCACAGATGAATGGTTTCCTATGGCGTGACTGAAAGAGTGCATTTCTGTAGCGTGGCTGGACATATGTGCGTCTGTGTAAAACTTATTAACTTGTTGCCAAGATCCTTCAGGGTTGGTCAGACATCACTGTGCCTTCTCTCCTCTGGGTGGTGTTACTACTCATGTACATAGAGTTCAACTGCACTTGAGAAAACTTTATAACAGCAATTAAGACTCTTTGTTAAAATATTTCTCATATTTATTTCCTGTGTAGATATAAACATCAGAAGATATTTATTTAAGCTTAATATTCTTCTTGAAACCCAAAGCCAAATGTGTTTATGGAAATGCGTTACTTTGAAACTGGCTTTGATTTGGTTAAATGAATATGTATGAAAAGCTGGTGACTTCCTTGTTTATGAAAAATCAAGTAATTTTAATGTATCACAAATGCTGAATGTAAAAACTAGATAATTTAAATAATATTAAGACCTTAAACTGTTTCTGTGTCTGTTTTAATAAGATGTTTGTCAAAAAGTCAACTAAAGATACATGATGTCACAGATCAGCTAATTCGCAAAGAAATGACTCCATTCAAATGAAAAAAATGAAAGAATAAATAACAAAAATGTTTTAGGTTTTTATCAAAAGCATTTATTTCTTATTACTTATTATCTTACCACTTACAGCTATGAAGTGCTATTGGTGATCTAATAATTCATTACTTGTACAAACTGTTAATGGCAGTATCAAAAAGAATGAAAATATATGTAGTAAATTATGAATGTTGTGATTATAGTGAAATGTCTATGGTGTTAAGTGGAATGGTCAGTTGTCTGCTTAAACTATAGCTTGTTTGTGATTGGAGCAGTTAGTCAGGAGTCTGAAATGGGACCAAGCACGGCAATAGCTTCAATTTCCACCAATGCTCCCTGAAAAGACAAAATACATTATTAAGACATGGGGCATTATCGCACAGAGACCGGCTAATGCGTAACAAAAGAAATTATATGACCATAATGATGGTACGTATGTAGCATTATTACAAAAGCATGATATAAACTTGGAAGGAGTCATAAACATACTCTGGGAAGAGCAGCCACCTGATACGCAGCTCGAGCAGGGAAGTTACTGCTGAAAACTAAAAGACACAAAAAAGTAATTGTTTACAGGGTTCAGTATATAAACAGCATATTCATTAGATCAATTTTGAATAACTGACCAGTGTTTCCCATTAATTGCAGAAACTATGATAGCCCCCCCATAGTCTTAAATTCTACCCCTGTCTAAAAACAACCTGTATTATGAATTTAACACAAACAAAATCACACTTGGTTGCTCATTAAATTGACATAAACATATACAAATTACCTATAATGATCAGAATGTACTCTTTTAAAGGTTCTATATTACACAAAATTTACTCTTGTAATTTTTAAGCCATCTTGGAATGCTGTTATCTCCTCAAAAACATACCTGGAGTTGTGTTTTGTTTCTTTCACAAATGTTTGAGTAACTCCTTTATTATTAATCTACATCTCCAGTGCTCAAAATGCTCTGTTCCACCTTGTGATATCATGAAACAGTAGTTTTCAAGTTAACAGCTCCCTTTTATCTTAAGTTCATTAGCGATTGTCAATTCAAGGGCTGGAATTATCCAAATGATTCTAGTGAAGGTGTATGGAGTTTAAAATACAGTGGAGCACTCCCTGCTTTACCACATGGCATCACAAGGTGGAACAGAGTATTTTGTGTTTGAAAAAATAACTTAGCCTAAATATGCAGAATTTGTGTGTTAAACGTGTGAATGAAACAAAACACAACTTCAGGCATGTTTTTGAAGAGAAAACAACATTATAACATCCATCCATCCATCCATTTTCGTCCGCTTATTCGGGGCCGGGTCGCGGGGGGAGCAGCCTAAGCAGGGACTCCCAGACTTCCTTCACCCCAGACACGTCCTCCAGCTCCTCCGGGGGGACCCCAAGGCGTTGTATAACATACATCAGAATATAAGTAAAAGTAGTAGTACTAATAGAAGTAGTAAAAATAGAAAGGGGGCCTTTAATGGTTTAATTTAAAAGGAGCAAAAGAGCCAATAGCTCTCAGACAGAATTAATTGTATCAGATTTCGGGTCAATGAAAGTTTCCCCACTGTGGTTTCTGCATGAGTGGGCTCAGAGCACGGGGGGGAGTCCAGTGCGGGTCTGCAGCCCTGAGCAGTAACGTTAGCCCCAGGGACTTGGATTACCTGCACAACAGTGTCCATTTACAACTCACTGGTCAGGCAGATTCAGTTACACCTGTGCCTGTGGGCCAAGAGGAAATGCCCAAAACACTGAAGCTAGACCACCGTGAAGGTATTTAAGAGAGCTCTCCAACCAAGTACTGCTCAGTGTTCTGGTCCAACTTCAATACAATGTGGAATATGTAGGTTTTTAAAGGTGCACTGTGTAACTTATCCAGTGGAGGGTCTGCCACCTCCTTGTCTCCATGGAGATGTGCCTAAATTTTCAAAAGTATAGCCATAAACTTAAGAATCTCCGTGGAGACTTGCAAGCCAAATTACGGATTACATTTGTGGAGAGGTGAAAAATTAATGTTTTTAACATATTTTTGAGCAATAAATGACACATGTAGATGAATATTAGTTAAATACCAGACTCTGGACAAGTTAAACCAAAGGAATTAACATTTCCATGGAGACTAACAGGTTGCGGACTCCAGAAAAGTTACACAGTGCATCTTTAAGACTATGATTTTATGTTACTTTATAATATACGGGTTTATGCTTGGTTAGACAGAACAGCAATACTTACAATAATTGAAAAAATAGTTACAAATATATTTTACATATTATTTTTACACTGTCCAAGAACTGTTTATGAATGAATGCAATAATATTGGATTTGAGCATTCTGGTTAAAGACTTCCCCCTAGTGGTTACTCTTTGCACTTACTCAGAGGAGAATAGCTGGGACCTCTTTGTTTGTTTGAAAACTATATTTTGACCAATACCTTATTGTTCCTAGATGAATTGATACTTACATGATTTGTAAACTTCATTGACGTTATTGAAATCATTTATATCAGCGAGCAGCACTGTTGTCTTCACCACTGGAATAACATAATATTACATTGCTGGTGTTTTCATTTACACAGTCAGATGTTCAGACTTGAGGGCCTATTGCTCACCATTTTTATAGTCACAGCCGGCAGCTTTAAGGATCTCCCCCATGTTAACAAGAGCCTATGAAACAGATAGACAATAGGAGAATTATCTTTTTAGTCAGTATTTAGTTCTGCGATTAACAGAATAATCATGACTAGGCAACTATTCAAATGTTAGTTTCAGTGCATTTACAGCATTTGTTTGGGAGATCCACTGACCTGCTTGGCCTGCGCTTGCACGCCCCCCTCCACCACCTGACCAGAGGCAACGTCCATCCCAATCTGCCCCGAAATGTACATGGTCCTGTCCACTACCACCGCCTGGCTGAGAAACACAGGTATAATTCATTATTGTGCATTTGATTTTCAATGTGCTATTTCCATTCAAAGCAGTATTGAGGCTTGGCAATTACTGCAATACATTATAATTTGCAATTTGAAACAACAAGGATGGAGACAGTGGCCTATGTATTTATAATTTTTGGACACTGACACAGATAGAGTCAAACATATTTGACTCTTTTGGCACCGTAGTTGTAAATGTATAGCCAACACTGTAAATGAGGAGCACTATGAAAAGAGAAACAATTTAAAAGGTCTAATATTACACATTCACAGAATTTACACATTCAGAAGATGGCCTATAACTACACACAGACTGTAGCTACTGTAAACAAGGGCTGATCTTTTCTACTCAAAGACCTGTAGTTATGTAGCTGAGTTATTTCCAGCAGAACTGTCTGTGTCATATAAAATTATCCTATAACTTAATTTCTTTTCAGTATGACATATGGGACAATGCAGTGATTTAACTACTGACCCCTCCTGTCTGCAGCCAATTGGTCGAAGCAGGAACGCCCTTACCTTTGACTTAGAAAATAAAATAGGAAGAAAGTCTACACATGCTTTCTTCTGATATTAAATCAGGTTTATCTGTAGACAATGTATTGCATGGTGTACATTTATGGTCATTTATGGATTCTGTGCTGGCTTAATCACAGGGTACTTGTTGCACTTACCTGTATATTCCCTGTCTGATGGGAGCTTTAGGTGTGTAAGGGAACTGTCTGCGAATAGATGCCATATTTCACCTGCTGTCTGCTGGAGCTCGGACAAACTGTGGTACTTTTTGAGGGGGTCAGAAAACTTAAGTTCAATGTGCACAAAAACACGCCCTCTAGCCCACTATTTATTTTAATAGATCCATGCTCTAGCCTCGCTGAACTTGCACAGGTCAGTAACAGTTCCACGAAGCTACAGCCTTGGGAACGTTTTTCATTCATTCGTCCACGCTACTCTCAAGCTACCCATTTTACAGACTTACATTAGAATGTAAAGTTACCTGTATGGTCCAATCGCAGCTGGGGCAGTAGCGGTGTAAACGATTTTTCTGTTGATTGCAGACATCTTTCTCACTTTATTTATCTCTTCAAAAGCTCAGAGTAATCGTTGCATAACACGATCAAAAGTTTCTGACGCTGTCGTTGTGTTTACCATAAATACCCCTCAAAAAGCGCAAATTTAAACTGCTGCTCATCTGATAACATTATGGTAAATGATTGAGTGCGCGTTTACTACGGTAATTAAGGTACACTTATATTTGTATAGCTACTGCAAAGATAGAAATGACTCCTAAAATCCAATGCGCTAAAAACTATGAAAGTATGCAGTTTTAGACAATATTACACAAAATAAATAAGAAAAATCTATAAATGAACAGTTAGTAGACCTAAATCTTGCTTCTTCTACTAGTATTCACGTTGCATTATCTAAAGCCATTGTGTAGAATATTCAAACAAACAGACCTATTAGGACCTTTTATTAATATGTTGCAACTTTCAAAACAGTATTACAAACAAAAGTAATAAATTAAGTGGTTCAAACATAAATGAGTCCACTCTACATTCTCATACATTTCAGAAATATAGTTAAAAGACAAAATCATTAAGTGATAATAAAGAGTGATTTTACATAACATGGCAGAATTTACTGTACAGTGTCATAGTTTAGTTGAAGCTTTAAAAGTCCAGCTTCATCGTAACAGTACTTTTACCTGCAAAGTTAAAACAATTCATTCCACTATAGCAATGATTACACATGCATAGACTATAATAACATAAGTCGAGATTGACAGTTTATGGTTTATCTATCAGGTTTGAACCAGTATTAAAAACAAAAATTTAATAAATAAAGTGAGTGCTTGTATGCACGTTACAATTGCATGGATTTTTAAATTGGCATGCATGAAACTACTTAACATGATTATTCCAACTAAACCAATGAATACTTATGATATAACATTCACATTGTTCGTAACAGCAAGTTGTCTCTAAGGATAGTCATGGTTCATTCAAAGGGTCATTGTAAGATTTAAGATTAAATTAAACTTTCAAAGCCAAATATTGGGCACGGCAGTTTTTCCTTCATAAAAAGGTTAAATCTGTCATTGTCATCATCCTTCATCAACGTCAAATCAAAAGTGAATCTAACTTGGTTATCGCTACATTAAAAAAAACAGTTTGCTACAGTCTTTAATCTGCTCAGCCTATTTGTCATATATTAATTCATCTTTAATTCTGTTTCTGTGTGAGAGAAACAGTGAGCTCTTCAGGAATGATTTTGATGCTTACTTGGAATGAATGCAAAATTAACACTATTTTTTCACGTTTTAACAGTGGATGGAGTTTGTTGGTTCCCAGAGGGGTATGTGTAATATGAGGCACAATGTTTGATTTGATAAGATAAGATTAATTAACCTAAAATGTCAAAACCAATAACAACATATAAAAGTTAAAAGAGTTATATGGTCCACAAACAATTTTGAAAACATGCATTGTCTGTCCCATTATTACCATCGGCTTAACTGCAGCTTTCTAAGGTCTAGCACAAACACAAGTTAAAATTGCTTCAACCGTTTGTTACGTTACATTGCTTCATTGAAACCTGCGTTTCAAAATGTTTAAGGCATTCTCAACAAAATCAACATGATTGTCTTTGGTCATGGGCAAACTGCCACAGCTTCTGTTACAGGTATTTTCAAACTAAGCTCTAGGTTATATGTACAATACATTAACAGTTTGAAGAAGGGCCACACGTTTTTGACCAGATTGCTGTCATTTTGTTGTGAATGAGAGCTGGATAAATGCTGGCCTGGAAGTGCTGGTAGTCCTTCATGATAATAATATGAAATAAGTGAGTAAGTGGTTATCTACTTTGGCTACAGTCCTGAGAATTATTACTATGAAGGTTAGAAGGCCAAAGGTGTTGCCCTATGTGCAACAGGCATTTCTTTATATGTACGTAGTGATCATGTGATAAAACAGCAGTGGTCTTCAGCATTATATGTAAAAGTGATTATTTTGTGGTACTGGTCTTAAAAGGTGACGTGGCCCTCAGAAGTTTTGCTGTCGCCTTTTCTTGGCATCCATGGCATCCAGAATGGGTTGTCTTTTGGCAGTGTAGCGCTGCCTCAACTCCTCTATCTCTCTCTCCATCATTGGATCCAAGGCACTGAGGCGCATCTGCAGCTCATCAAAGTCCAGGTTTTTCAACTAGAAAGCATCAATAAACAGAAATGTTTGCTCATATTTATTATAATAACACATTTTCCATAATGACTAACACAAAACTGCAGCAAGAAACTAGAAATAAATGTGGAACAGATTACTCACAAAGTCAAAGTCTCCATCTTGTGGGACCTTCCAATTGTCAGGGAAGACATTTTTGGACTGGATGTGATAACCGGGCTGCTCCTGAGGCTGGTTGTGGTTGTAGTTTTCCTGCTGCTGTGAAGCTTTATTAGAGTCCTGTTTGTCAAAATAGTCCATGAAGGAAGGACGGATAGGCTGCTGGGGAGTGGCATGTCCTGTAGAGAAAATAGAGAATATTTGCTGATACTGATATTAAAGTACATATTTGTCAGAAGGTACTGAACTACTAAGTAGATCCAACATAAGTATATAAAATAACCAATACACTAATTCCCTTTTTTGTTTTGCTTCATTTTTAACAGTGTTAAGACATATAAACAAAATGTATCTAAACATATTGTGTTAAAATTCTGTGGAAAAGTTTTTCTGTAAAAAATAATGGGACAAAAGTAGATAAAGTGTAGGCTTACTTCTCATAGATCCTTGGTCATCTTCCTCTTCTTCATCGTCACTGTTGATGACCATAGTTCCGAGGTCTGACTCCAACATGGTGCTGCCGTGTTCAATCATGGTCTGAGCCCCATCGCTCATGGTGCTGGTAGCTCTCATGGTCCCTGGACCCTCTGTGCCAGACTTCACCATTGTGTGAGAGTCCACCTCTGTCTCCTCCTCCTGAAGTAGACGACAAAATAAATTTGTTCACACATGTAACTGTTACAGAGCACAATGGGGAGTTTAAAAAAATGTATATTTACAGAATTATCGTCTTCCTCCTCCAGTTCTCGCTGCTGCTCTTGTTGTCTCTTAGCTTTCATCTCCATAGCCTCAGTAATTAGGTCTCTCAAAATGGTGACAGGTTTAGCCTGAGTAATGAATGGATGCTGCAAATCACAAAACAGAGACTGATTAGAACCAGCACAGTCTTAAGAGATTAACTAAAGGCCGTTTACTTAGGTACAATATTTTTTGGCACAATTTTTGTACATATTGTTTACAAACCTGCAGTAGTTGTGTTGCCGTTGCTCTCTGCTCTGGATTCTTGACAAGACATTTTTTTACAAAGTCTGTAAACTCGTCAGACCAAAGCTCTGGTTTTCTAAATGTTGGAGGTGGGTTAGAGGGGATCATAAATATAGCCTGTATAGAAAAAGAAGCATGAATAAACTTCATCTGTATATATTTTGCACTGTGTTCATTTGTTATATACCAACCCTCATTGGGTGAATGTCGGCATATGGTGGTTTGCCCTCTGCCATTTCTATTGCTGTGATTCCCAAGGACCAGATATCTGCCACACAGTTGTAGCCAATTTCTTGAATAACTTCAGGGGCCATCCAGAAAGGTGTACCAATAACAGTATTTCTCTTTGCCATTGTATCCTTTAAAATGAAGAAATAAATTACGATATCTAAATTTATTGTATCATTATAAACATGATTAGCACATGCTGTGCAATCAAGTAAAAACACTACATGATTTTAATGATTATAGTTATATTTTATTTTATTACTGTTAACTGTCCAGCCACTCCAAAGTCTGCTAGTTTGGCATGTCCCTCTGTGTTGAGGAGGATATTTCCAGCCTTTATATCCCGATGAATCTTTCTCATGAAGTGAAGATACTCAAGGCCTTTCAGTGTCGACTTCAGGATAGTGGCAATCTCATCCTCTGTCAGCTAAGATTTACACATTGTTCACATTGTTTTAGTGTAAAAACATGTACGCAGAATCTGATATTAAGTGCATTAAAACATCATACTGTTTTGCTGCGCAGTCTGATGATGTCAGAAACAGATCCGGCTCCACAATACTCCATGACGATCCACAAATCTGTGTTCTTGAAGTAGCTTCCATAGTATTTGACCACGTAAGGACTAACAAGAAATGTTCATTACAATAAAAATAAATTTCTCACACTAATAAAGAATTTTTTAAGCACATAAATATGACATTTTATATGGGCTTGATATTTACTTTTTAATTAGTAAATAGAATGTTCCTACCTGTCACATTGCTGCATGATTGAAATTTCCTTGATGATTTCCTGTAGATCTGACTCTACAGGGACCTGTTTGATGGCCACCACTTGCCCCGACTCTTTGTGTATTGCCTTATTCACGCTGCCATAGGAACTAAATCCAGATACAGTACAATATCAGTAATCAATCTGGTCAGTTTCTAAATACTGAGGTTTCACAGAAGACTCACCCTTCACCCAGTTTCTCTAAAACATCAAACACTTCCTCTGGTTGTTTGGTCAAGCTGTCCTCACTCAGCTTTTTCAGTTTGCTGTTAAATGTTAAGCAAAAGTGAAACTGGAGGTGACACTGAATAACGCTTTAGAGGAGATAGTGGTGACACAACACTGATTTACTTGATTTACAATGCATTCAAATTCAGTGCAGTGACAATATAAAGTGCACATAGTGAACAGGAATACAGACATTGCCACAAAACACAGACAAAGCGCGCACTTACTGACCTACTGCGTTACAGCAAATTAAATTGATTGCAGACACAAGTACAGTTGTGTTGTTAACGCAGTTAGCAAATCGGCTATATTAGCATTAGCTCACCAAGTTGAGAATTTGGAAAAAAATAGCTATAAAAGTGAAATAAAACGACACTTACCTTTTAGGCGCGTTTGACTCCATCGTTGACCGTGTTTAACAAAGTAAATACAACACGATAGAAGTATTCCGTTGGTTTTGGGGCAGTGATCAGGACGTGGGCATTGTCGATGTTGTGTTGTCAAAAAGTGAGGCCAGCTGAGCACTTCAGACTCACAGCCCCACAGCGCCTCTACCGGCCTGGAGCGGGTAACTGTAAAGTTAAACAGTGAAATGATCAAACCAGTAAATGAAAATACATATGATCAACATGAATGTGTGTTTTATTTGCAGTGGTGACATATGTTTGCACTCGGGATATGCACAAAGAGTGTCCTTTATATACACAAAGAGTCATTTGTGGCCAATCACAACCCGTTTTGTTGTGAGGTGGTGGTGTGTTCTGCGCATGCGCTGAGTCTGAACACTCATGAGATGCTAAAGAAGTAAACAGCTAAACTATAAGCACAAATAAAACGGTAAGAACAATTACTTATTTGTAGATATGTTTGGAGCTATATTTTAATTATATTTACAATATTTATAGCCATGTTTATGTTGAATCTGGGCCAGATTTACGTCGGATTGGGGCATGGCTATTACCACGCCGTTGTGTTAGCATATAACTATGTGTGATCATGATTTGTTTTATTTTATCAGTGTGAAAATGGACACACCGAAAGATATGCAGCCCCCGAAGCAGCAGCCTATGATATACATTTGTGGCGGTAAGTAATTTTCCACTTTATCAGTATTTTCAAGATTTATATAGGAGTTCTGAATTAAAACATTAATTGCACGCATTAAAATGGCATTTATTCGAGTTACAATCATTCATACAAATATTAACAACTTGACATGGTAGCTGGTCTATCTCCATGCAATAATACCAGCACGTTTCTTCCTGATTATTGATAGGCTATAGGATTTGCTTACACAAGTTTGAATGTTCATCAACATTTTTTGATAAATTCATGAATAAATAATTGCACTTTCTCCTACAGAATGTCACACTGAAAATGAAATTAAGGCACGAGACCCTATTCGATGCAGAGAGTGTGGTTACAGAATCATGTACAAGAAAAGAACAAAGAGATGTATCCTTTAATTCAGTTTGTTGTAGTGTTGAATTTGTATACGTGTGTATAAGTTTTAATGTCTTTTCTCTTTTGCCATATGCTCCAAATATGTTCAGACATTTTCCAACTTTTGTGTACATTTCCTGACCTGATACTCCAGTGGTTGTCTTTGATGCCCGGTGAATATGATGGAAGCCCTGGTTGTGTTTGATTAGGGTTATATGTTTCTACTTTTATAGTGTATGAATGTGTAAATAAACTGATAAAACACCCACTTTTTTTCCAGAGAAAAATAACTGATGATGTTTATCAATTAGAAGACTTGGGATATATGTATTTAGCAGTTGCTGACGATGTATTGTGTGTTGACAAAATACTCATTTGGGTTTCTTATTTAAAACTTTTACACCATAATAATGGGTTACAACTTCCTGTTATATGCCACAGGAGAGCTGTTGAGAGCCGTTTGATAAAGATATAATATTTTATAGTTTTAAAATTTTAATGTGTATGGCAGTTTTCTATTATTCTGAGACCCATGGACTGGTCAGTTTTATTCAGTATCCTTCACTTAAGATCAAATTTGTAATTTTGGAGACTGCATACACTGTTGGACATATGAGCCTTTTTCTCTTGGAGTCTTGCTGAATTTTTTCTTTAGTTCCATTCTAAGAAATAAAAATGTTCATTTATGCCATATAAAAAGTGTTGTACCAAGAAAATTTATTCCGTGAATGTGACGTGTCTATGACAATGAATTAGCAGGGGAAAGTGAAGCTGATTTAGTTTCTATTAGTCAGTCATTGTTGACTGGATTTCTGTTCTTCAGAATGGAGCACCTTTAAGCCTGTGGCAACATTAGTGCTTTTATTATAATAGTTTTGAAGGAGGGCTTTCCCCGGGCAGGTGCTTCACTGCTGCACTGCGGTCGCTCCTCCCCCGCGCTTACGTACGAGCTGCGGGCGGGTCTTACAGAAATCCCCGGTGAAAGAGACAGCTGCTGCTGCGTTTGAGAGAGAAACAAGAGAAACCGGCGGAGGGAACCGGAGCCACACACCGCAGAAGGGGCGCAGTGATGGGGAACGCTCAGGACAGACCCCCGGGCAGCGGAGGAGACAGAACAGGACCAAACCAGGCCAGATCAGGGACACGAGGTAATGCGGAAAACCCCCATAGTCACCACGGCTCTCAGAAAGGATTGGCAAACGGGACACCGATACAAAACAGTACAGTAACACGCGAGGAGCCGCCGGTGGAGGACAAGAGTTACCTGGACGCCCCCGCAGGAGCCCTCCCCCCTCACTTGGCCCGGCTCAAAAATGAGGGCAACCACCTCTTCAAACATGGACAGTTTGGGGATGCCATTGAGAAGTACACACAAGCCATAGAGGGCTGCACTGAAGCAGGTAGGAAGTAATATCGCGGATGTCTTCAATGTCTATTTGACAATAATACAAGTTTTTCCAAATAGGCTAGGCAAGTTATGACAGGATGAAGCTTGAGATTCATTCAAAACTGTATGCATATGATTTGCAGCATGCAAAGTCATGATACACACCATGAGGGCTAAAATGTACCTATTTTATAGCACATGCTTATTTTGTAAGTTATCATTTATTAATTATGGTTTGTTTAAAAAAACCAAAAAAATAACCCCAAAAAAAACAACAACTTTCAAACACACACATCCTATATCTTTTTCTTGATGTTAATATAAGCCAGGCCTATATTAGCTTAGCTCTGATTGTCATATTTATAAATAATGGATTACAATACAACAGAGATAGCTATTTCAAAACCCTAGTCCCACAAGTATCAGTCATACACAACTGCATCTGTTCTGTATGCATATGTGAGCATATTGGACCTCTGTGTTAAGTGTACACACATGACAGCTGCTTTGTGGATGCAGTGAGTGATGTAATAATCTAATGTTGATGCTCACATAGACTGAATGACATGTTTTACCTTTAAGGGCACTCAGCCAAATTTTACTCTCAAAACCATCAACTCCACTAACAACAGGACTAGAATGTGAGTAGCATCACAGCCACTTTACATTTTTATTAACAATAAAGATACAATGAGAACAAAAGGGTGCAGTGTTATCAATGGGAGAAGGACAAAAAGGAAATTGGATTAGACGAATGATTTATGACATGTCCATCTGTGTCCTCTGTTCAACTGATTCAGTGGTTTTTAGTTAATCTTTTCAGGGAACTAAAATATGTTTGAGTTAGATAATTTTAATTAAATACACTTCATTGAATACTGTTGTAGACCTTGTAAAAAGGTTATCACAACTATCTTGAAAGGACATTTTGGTCACAGTAGCCTGCTAGGATGACCACAAATAGAAAGAAATAGCAAAAAACAAAAATATTGAATTGTAATAATGAAAACATTAAAAGTAAAACTAAGATGCCAAATTAAACTAAGTTAACTAGGCATAATGTTTACTATGTAGTTTTGTCCTGTCTATGAGATATTATAGTTTAATAGTGATATTCTGTAAGACTCTGTTCCTCTCCAGGTGTTGATAGTCCAGAAGACCTGTGTATTCTCTACTCCAACAGAGCAGCCTGCTACCTCAAAGATGGGAACAGCACAGACTGCATACAAGACTGCACCACGTAAGCAACTACTGTATTTGTTAAGTTTGTGGTCAGACTCGCACAGATCAATAACTCCAGTGCACCATTCAATTATTAATAAATCACATTAGGTAAGCCCCACAGACAACACAGAGTGCTGAAGGAAGATGCATGCTAAAAACAAATGCAATGAGTCACATCAGTTCACCTGTACGTTTGTGTCACATGTAGCCTAAACTTAATTAATCATGATTTTCTTTTTCCTTACATTGATTTCATTATGATTGTAAAAAGAATTAGACTCACTTAAAATAAATCCTAATAACTTGAGCAAGATAGACCTTTAATCATTGCCATTTGACACCAATTTCTTCAAGCTCCGCTCCAAACCACATACTTTTACTTACAGAAGACTGGCTGAAGACATTGTGATTAAAAAGCTTAAGACTCTTCACTGATGAGTTGAAATGATCGCATCTTGTCTAGACTATGGTTTTAAAATTAGCTTGTTTGTAAGTTTTGTTTTATATTTTATCTTTGAGCTACTCTCTTGAAGTGTAAGTTAGTTTAGTTATATCAGAATGAAGACAAAGCTGTCTCAATTAACATTTTACATCAAGACAAAATAGAAGAAAGAAAAGATCAAATAAAGAAAATCAGCATTTTTCTTTAGCGGTACAAAACAACCAGTGTACCCACCCTTAACACTACAACTTAGACATAGTAAATAACAAAGCAATAAATAATACTTTTCTGATGGAAGGTCCGTCAAATGCTTTTCTTCATGGAGATGTTATTGCTTTGTCTGGAATGTTTCACAGAATGGTATTAAACCTTTCTATCTTTATGGAGACCAAACCAAGTTGCAGGTCAGATCTGGGGAGAGGCAACCCTACTCACAGTCAGAATGCCTGTTTTTGTATTTTTTTTTAGCTATAAAACCATCTGTAACTGCATAAATGTAAAGTAGAGCTATTTAATGTCATACTGTGGGAAATTCCAGGCAGAGCAATAACATATCCATAGAAACAAGCAGGTGACGGACCCCCAGCCAAAAAGTTACTCAGTACACGTTTAAGTCTATGATGAGCAGCTAATAGTAGATTTGATAGTATTGTATTTGAGTGACCACATTGAGCCTGTGCCACCTGTATGAAGGGTTGATCCTCTGATCCTCTTAGGGCTCTGGAGCTGCAGCCGTTCTCCCTGAAGCCGCTGTTACGCAGAGCCATGGCCTACGAGTCCCTGGAGCGCTACCGACAAGCCTACGTAGACTACA